TAGAGAACCATCATCCTTGATTTCAAGTCTTCTATGAAAACAAAAAGAGAAAAAATTCAAATTGTGGCTGTACAGCACTTATTGCTCCAACAGTATTAATCTGAGAGGGGATTTTATATTGAAATAAGAGAAAGACATATAAGCACATGCATAAAGTTTAGAACTGAATTAACAATCTTGAGTAATGTTAGGTAAACCATGAAAAGCACAACTGGCTGGAAACACTGTAAACTGTTATGCTTAAGAATGTATACCACTAATAGATAAACAACCAGACCGTATACACAGTCTCTGTTAACATTTATTAATTTTTTTTTCAATAAGAAAATGAGACTGAGACCCATCCTTTTTTGAGCAAAGCGTGTTAGACTTTACAAGAACCTGTTTACTTCAACCAAAGCAGTCTGCTACTAGTATATACACAAAGAATTTAGATGGTTGATAGGTGAAGGAACAATCAAAATGCTAAGCAGAAAGACCAGGAAGGCATGTGAACATATGTATTTGATATAAATATAATTTTATAGAGACATCTAGATCAATATGCACCACACTTCTTCTAGTTACTTGACAAGTGAACACCAAGTATTCAACTGAACAGAATTTTGAATTTATTATCCGTGATTTATTGTGACAAAGTAGTTGGAGTGAATTTTTTCAAGTTCTTTATACTTGTTCCAATAAAATGGATACAATTTCTTTCAAAATAAACAGGCAGAAGATTTGCCTTTTGTATTGTATCCTCTGAAGGAAGAAGCATTCAAAGATCCATTGTAAAGAATCCCATTCACATTGGATCTGTTTTCATTTACAGTCCTATTTACATGGATTAAGTGTATGCTCTCAATTATCTCATCTCAGAAATCTAGATGTTTTAGCTTTCGCTTATTTAGTTTTTTGTCTTACTGCAATGGTTTGTATCTGTGGTAGCATAGGATCTTAGATCACCATTTTTTGTTTACTTTGCAAGAAGCTGGAGTATTTTTAGCAAAAGTATCATTATGTCAATACTCAAGTAGGAAAAAAATTAGGTACTGTAGGGAATTTCAACTATGTAGAATCCCAGTTGTGTACAACCGTGTACTAAATGTGTATAATTGTGTCAATTTTTCGTATTTGAAATATTTTTGGGTTTTTTTATATTTCTCAAAATAATTTTGAGGATGATAAATATATGTGGGAGAGAGTGGATTAGTCCATTTTTGCTGATAGAATATTGTTCTCGATAAGCTTTTGATTCTTTGTAAAAGATTTCTTTCGCAGCATCACAGTCTGGTAATATGGACTCTCATTGGTATATTAAACCAGTTTCACCTCTAATACATGATACCAATGACAACTATTACTTAACAGAAACCTTAGTCCTCCTAAAAACATGTCAGTAATAAAAATGTCTAAATTCCTAAATCATATTTTTCAGTATGGTAAGGAAATGTCTAAATTTTGTTTTTAAAGAAAAAAACAAATTGAAAGCACAATAAAGTATTACTTTTTAGCCTTTTAAGAAAAAGCTTAATGCAGATGTTAGACATTTCGTTTGACTCAGTATTTTTCATGCAATGTTTTTCTACTAACCAACTCTTTTTCGCATTGAAAGAATTACCCAATATGTTGGCTCTACTTAAAGTCTCAGTGCCTTGAAAAAAATTAGTGGTTAAAAAAAAAGAAAAAAGGGAAGGGAATAGTTATTGAAATAAACAGAGGAAGTTGTAAATCTTTAAATCCTATACAGGATAGATTGGAACAATATAAGCTCTCCAAGTTTTCTTAAATAACGTACCTAAAAACTCTCTGTGGGCAAGTAGGAAATCTGTTTTCAATATCTTCCGCTTCTAAGCAGAAAATATAATTTATGCTAAAGAAAGTGGGGTTTTTTTGTGGGTGTTTTCAACCAAAAATTAATGCAAATATCTCATCAGAAAATACTGTTTGAAAGCCAGGAGGTTTTGTTGCAGACACCATTCCGGACACTGCCTTGCACATTATAAGAACAACAAAGAAGAGAAGAATAGATCATGCCCAGCTGTAAATCAGAGTAAAAAATGAAACTATAGTGCAGATGCCTTCCAGCAGCTCAAAAAGAATTAGCCCTGATAACCAAATGCAAGACTCTTCAGAAGCCAAATGTTTTATTTTCACGGTAGCAGATTGCTATGAATCCCTACTCAGTGAGAGTCATAAAAGGATTGTACCAATTGCATCTGCATTTTAGCAGGAGTTTTTTGTAGTAAAAAACCTGTGGAGGTGTTTTATAACATAAATTATCTTGTAGTCTTTTGATACTGTGGTGATTTCTTCTGCAATACAATATTTTGGGTTGCACAGCTGTACTTTAAAGGTGTGGATTCTAATCAATGGCAGAAAAGAACCAATACTAAGTGAAATCAACCACAAAGCAAAAAAGTTATCTGCACAGGAACGCAGTGTATCAGAAGAGCCTTCAGGAAGAGACTCTGCTGAAGCCAACAGCACAGGGTCTGTACAATGGAGTTCCCTATCATAGAAAATTATTTCTACTACCAAAAACAATGCATCAACCAAGCAAATGGAAAGTTCAGTTTCTTAATTAGTAAAAGCTGGAAACGTCTGAAGTAAACAATACCCATAGTTTAAAGTCTGTCATCTTGGAAAATGTGTATAGGCAGTGTAAGGAATATAGATTAATTTTTTTAGCTGCTATTTATCATTTTCTTGGGCCATTGAGGTTTTTGGTGTTAGATGGGTTAGCACTTAGGAAAAGTGTTGAATACCACTAGACAACAATGGCTTCCCAGTAGGTTACTGTAATGTAGTGTATCAAACACAGTCTGTTCAGAATTTAGATCTAGTAAACTACTAAGGTTTTTAATATTTCTTCAGAATCTGAAGTTTCCTGAGGTTTTGCATTTACATTGATTTATTACTTATACCCTTAGTGCAATAACACACACGAATGCCCATCTCTGGCAACTCAGGCAACTGACCATTAGGGAAACAGAGAAAGAGTGCTTCTGGTAGGGGTAATAGAGGCAGTGCAGAGCCTGCTGGAAACCCTGCCAATTTGCAAAGCTCTTAAGGACCTCTTGCACCAAGAAGAAAGGATGATCTGATATATTTTACATCTTGTTTTCTGATAGTGTGTATACCATCTCATAAAACAGGAAAGCTTTAACTCAGGGGTTTTTGTGTTTTTAAGTGTTTGCAGTCGAAGGACTTGGTGCTTTGTGCACTTACTGCACCTAAAACTTCTGAAAAAAAAAAAAAAAGGCAAAGCATACACTTTTAGCAATAAACATTCATAGTGTTGAGTCCTATGTTAAATACAAACCAGCATGATCAGAGTCTCCTATAGAAATCGATTTCTTACCTATTAAATAGAAGGAAGCCTTTGAAGTTTTAGACTACTGCTATTTCTAAAATTGCATTTGAGTCCTGATGCTGTCATTGAGAGATCATGCAAAAGGAACGTTATCATATTTCTATATAAATGTTTAACACTGTTCTATTCCAGAAAAGTGATGATAGTAAACAATATCACAAGGTCTGCTGGACTGGTATAACAGTTAATTGTGTTTTGCTTTTCTAGTCACTGTCTGAGACTGCAGAATTAACAGTACCTGACAGTGATAATATTCACTGCACGGTGCAAATTACTACTATTGGTTTGTTCTGCATAGTTATCCCTTTTCCAATGAGTTCGGTGTACTTTTTACACAAATTTCATCAAGGATCAAATTATGAAGCAAGGAAAGACTCCTATTATAGTCCATTACATAGGTAATCATTGCTGCTACATATTATTTGTGGTTTCCTGACAATGAGGTTTCTGTGTTACTGAATTTTCCACAGAAGAATTATGAAGTAGCTGAGACTTGGGTGGTCTACTTCTTACTCTTGGAATTACTTTGCTTCACATTTAGTAGTTCAAGTGCCAAACAAGTGCAGAATTTTGTGTTTGTAGTATTTGTGCATAGACTATATGACAGTAATGAAGGTGATTTTCTGTTACTTCAAAAAATGGTAACTATGCCACTTTTTCCCTCATCCTAACTTCTGTGAGCAATGTGGTTATTGAAAGTGTTAGCAATAGGCATAACAAAAATCACTATCTGTCTTAAACCCATGACAGTAATGTAAGCTGGATTTGATTTTTTTTCCATGAAGGAAATTGTGAGACATTTTGGGATATTCTAATCATAAACTGTTGGACTTTGTTTTTACAATAATAAAGGAGCAAAGATCCCTTAAGTCAGGAAGAGTGCAATTTCCTAGGCCTTTCCTTCAGCCTTTCAAAATTTAAGATGTAAAATTTGAGAATGTGCATGTAGGTATATGTTGTGCTTCCATCTTCCATGGTCAGCTACATCTAGTAATGAAAATGTGGAGAAGTAGAAACCTTTCTGACATTGCAATCTATGCAAACTTTGATTTTCTAAGCAATCTGTTGCAATGGTGAAATAAGTAATTACTTCTTATTGTAAAGTACTTTCCTTCTAGGAGTTATGGCAGGAAAAATATTTCTTTTTTACTGCTTATGACCTATAATTGGCAAGCTTTTCACTGCCTTCATTGGCATAAATATCTGCTTCAACTGTAGAAAAATATCGAATCATTTAAGGGAGATTTGCTGTCATAAAACAAAAATTTGAAAAGTGAATCTCATTAGAGGAGGTAAAAATGTGTAGAGAGAAGTGTAAAATAAATAAATATGCCTTTGAAAAGGACTGGTTAATATGGTGGATAAACTTATATATAACTGATGCCATTTATTGTTAAATGTGTAATACGTGTCCAAATGGCTTTGCAGGTGAGAGTGTATATATATTTGCAATTGCAAAATACCTTTCGGAAGTGATATTTTCTTTCTCTGGCTTCAAGGAAAACAATCTAGAAAAACATCAAGAAGAGACTAATACTCTTTTTTTTTTTTTTTTTTCCAATAAGTGATCATTTCCGTTTCTGCTTTCTTGCTTGTTTGTATTGCCTTTTTTTCAAGATTAACTCTGATTTTTCTGTAACAGGCACATAGTTGTCTGTGGTCACATAACACTTGAAAGCGTGTCCAACTTCCTGAAGGACTTCCTGCACAAGGATAGGGATGATGTCAACGTAGAAATCGTCTTTCTGCATAAGTGAGTAATCTTTCAAGATTAGTCCTATCATCAGTTACTAAAACTTATTAAATTAAGGCTGATCTTATGGGAAGACAGAGAATCTTTCAAGCTCCAACTAACCATAAAATTAATCTTTTCAATTACTGTTATTAACAATATGTTTTGAAAAATAGTTATTTTCTGCATTTTTGATAACCCATAGCCAAGTATATGTGTTTCAAGCAGATAGACTTCAGACCCAGTTGTGAGGTAGATAGCTAAACAAATAGTTGAAGTGGGAGTGAAGTTATGGAATAAAATATATTGGAATAGTAATAAATATATGGGAGAATTCTTTTTAGTGGTAAATATTTATGGAGAAACTACCTAAATTACTAACATAAGTAAAATTAAGGAAAACCACTCTATGTCATATGAACTTATGCTAGTACATTTTCACCTTGGATTTGTCTAGGAAAAATGTTTATTTCTTATTATAAAGTATTTATAAAAAGAAAAACGTTGGTATGGATTTAATTTTAATATAAATGAGATACATTACAGATATGTTAAAGATAGAAATGAAGTTCTTATCACAGTGATAATTAATACTGCTCTTTTACCCATATATACCTACCTACACACACATAGTCTCTTATCTTTTTCTGATGTGGAATTTGGAAAGGTATCTGAAGATGGTTGTTGCTTCTTGCAGGCTCTACATTATGTGTAATACAATACCAAATAGGAATACTTATGGGAGAAGTTGCTAGAAAAAGCCATGTGATAGGAGACAGTATGAAAAGGTCTTTTCTGCTCTGGAATGGCATCTGTTTAGAAGTGTTGCTAGCTGTGAATGAGTAATATTTTTGCATTCAGAGCACGTTCAGCACTTTTTGTCAAAGAAAATTATTACAAAGTTAAGGAATCATATGTGATGATTTAAGAATGGAAGCTGAAAAGCAAGAGTCAGCAGCACTTACACAATTTTACCATCTAGTCTTTTCAAATTGAACTAGAGATGATATCCTCATGTAACTACATCATTTGTTTGCACCCTCTCTCTCTGTAATAACAAGAAGTGTCTGTGAGAGGAATTGAAGATCCTGATTTCCACAGTGAAAAGATGTGTTGATAGGAATCAGGAAACTGCACATTTACATGAAAGGAGTTTAGCACCTTGCTACTTGTTTGTGCCTACTCTCTTGTGTACCTTCACAGACAAATACTTGCATGTTTCTGTTTTATTTTCTTATTAAATTTAGCTTTTGGCATGGCAAAGATCTCATGCACTTACTGTGAAGCTATTAAATCCTTTCTATTTTAATGAGCGGCATCAGAACAGATATTTACAAGGTTGGTGCCACATTATGTAGTTGACTGTGATCCATTTAATTTTTCTTTTGTATCTGGCAAAATGAAATGAGACAGAAGGTCATAGTATCATTATGTTTGTTTTATTTGCAGCTCACACAGGCCGCAGGATTCCTATAGAGTTTCTTTATCTGGTTTTTAGTGATTTTTGCATTGAGCTCTTTTATTCAGTGCAGTCTGCCATTTTGAGAATGGTGGGGACATGCAGAGAATGATTGTGTTACTAGATAAATTCTGGACAGAATGCTGTGAGAGGATATTTTCAAATGTTTGCACCCATACTTCTGGATTCATATTTGTAAGAAATGAACAAATGATGAACGAAGCACAATGAAGTGAGCCAGAAGCACTGTGGACAGAAACAAGGAAGTGAAAGCAATATAGTGTTTAGCTTTAAAGTATTTCACACTGTTGCCACATCACAGAAAAAGCATCAGCAGAAGTAATAAATGTGTGAGTTTGTAGATGAAGGAAATGGGGACCAGTTACGGAAGCTGATTTCTCATTTGCTGTTGTGTTTTCTTCATCTTTCCAATGCAGTATCTCCCCTAACCTTGAGCTGGAAGCTCTTTTTAAACGACACTTCACTCAGGTGGAATTTTATCAGGGTTCAGTCCTTAATCCCCATGACCTGGCAAGAGTGAAGGTAACAGCTCTGTTGTTGTGTTCTCCTGCTAATTGACTTTTTTTAAGTATTCTTTGCATTATTTGAAAAAAAAAAAAAACAAACAAACTAACACAAAAACAGTAAAGCACTTCTTCATTTAACCCCAAAAGATTGGTTTTGCATCTCTATTAACTTGACTAATAAATTATATCTATCCTTGTAAACCTTTTTTCCTCTATATCTTTAGATCTTCAAAACTACAGTAACAGTGACTTAAGACACATTCTGCCATTCCATTAAACTCTTTATGAATGTTTCATTGAGGTTTCAAGAGTCTACTTACATTATTATTTGATACAGCAGAACACTGTTTTACTGCTTAAAATACTATTGTCTTAACTTATCAGAACAATTAAAAATATTTTTCACCTGCTGAACCTTTTTATATTGTCCTTATTTAAATGTATTTATAAGTACATTTTAAGCTTTTTTTGAGAATTAAGCTAAAATTAGATAGTTTTATTGTCTAGAATTCTAATTTTTTTTTTTATACTCCTAAAGCAAAGCATGAAGCTTAAATAAAATTTAAGGAAAAACGAAGTTGTCAGATACATCAACTTTTTTGTTTCTTTTTTTTTTAACCCCCAGTGGATTGTAAACTGGCTACTTAAGCCAACATATTTTAGCACAGTGTTGTTAATCCTTTCTGGAGTTCTAATCCTGTCTTTTGTCCATTTTGGCTGCAGAAATTACTTAACCTTTTGTAGCCCAGTGCACACAATTTCAGTTCATCAGAACATGTTCTAACTACGACCATAAAATTGTGTGTTCGTATTTTGTGTTTTGTATTCCACCCTTATTTGTGTTGATAGTTGGTTGTATACACTGAAAAATACTTTCTTCATATGCTTTGAGTTCTCTAAAGCTAAAGTTTTTCTGAATCTAGAGCTCTTGTGAACAGATAAATTGTCTTCCTCTTACTTTCTAAATCTAGTACTCAGATTCTAAATCATCAGTTCAGCCTCATCTTCCTGTCTATAATTGGAAGGTACTTAAATTCCCAAAAAAAGCTGCAGGACTTCTGGGAACACTATAGTGATGTAACAGGAACTTCATATGGATTGAGGGATCTAAATTCCAATATCTGGTTACAAAAGATTAATGTTAACACCTTCATGGCTCAGCTGATGCAAAGTAAGAGTCGACAATTGAACTACTAACCTGCTCTGATAATCATAATCAAGTTTCAAGAAATTGCTATGTGTGTTTGAGAGCAATTATAATCACTCACATTAACTCACATTAGCCTAGTAACATTTTTGGTTAGCTTTAAGAACTGACACTAACACTCACAATGGCAGTGCTGGATTCCCTGATACTTTATGATGAAAGAAGAGCTGGAAAGAGTCGTTGCTATATATGTTTGCTTTCTCTTTGGTGTCTCAGATAGAGTCAGCAGATGCGTGCCTAATCCTTGCCAATAAATACTGCGCTGACCCAGATGCTGAAGATGCCTCCAATATTATGAGGTAAACTCTGGAGTTTTTAATAGCTTTTTGGTTCTTCACCTGGGTTAGATAATTTTCTGATCTGTTGCGCTTAAAGAACATTGTAGGATTTTTTTCTTTTTGGACATATTAAAAGTGTCACAAAAGTTCAGAGGTGAGAATACCCTCAATTCCTACGTAAATGTTTGATTTAGCTGCTTTTTTGTGTGTCAGAAGAGACATTTGGAGCACAAGCTTTGGTACTCTTAGTAATTTTGCAGAACCTAAGGTTGAGTATTAATAGCTGAATGGAGAGAGGAAGGGGAATGCAGTTATGTTGTTGCAACAATATGTTACGAGTGCATGTACTGCATGGGCTGCTGTTAATGACGGGACAGAAGGACACTTCATCACTTCACACCTCGTTTTTCCCTGGTCTATCTGCACCCACAAACAATGTGCTGCTCAGGGGATAGTAAAGTATACAGTAGAGTAGTCTTCTATTTCCATCCTGCTTTTTTTACACTGAAGACCAATCGTTGCTTATTTTGATTGACAAGCCATTTACCACAATAGGGACCACTAGATCTCCTCCTACTTTCCTCCTTGAAGTCTCTGAAGGAAGGAGATGAAATAGTCAGTCAGTAGATGGCAGCTAGAGTTACAACAAATCTATGCCATTCCATGTTTTATGTTTTGTTCATCCAACTCTTGTTTTAATGAGACTGATTCATTAGGAGTTCTCTATCACTGGATTGGCCAGTGTTATGAACAAATGTGATCGGCTTGTCAGATGTTGGCATGCTGTGTATTGAAGGAAGGGTAGAAATGAAAAGGTAGTTATAAAATTGCTCCTCTGGAAAACTTTCACTGTGTACAAGAGATGTGGCTGGCTGAGGAAGATGCAGGGCTTAAATATGCCTAATTTCATTTTGCAAGTGTGACTTGCAGTGCAAGAAACTTTATTTTGGCATTGATTGCATAAATACATTAAAAATACTCCAGTTGGAGATTAGTGAATTCTTAATAGATTTAATACATGTAATGTAATAAAATGCAAAAGTGTAATTTGAGAGTAGAATTCTCTTGTGTTTTCTCACAATATAATTCAAAAAACTGAATGTTTAATTAAACAATTCAACAAGAAAGGGAAAATTAGAAGGAAGACTTGTTAAAGTAATGCAATTTTTTTTATGTTTCCCATTCTAGCTTTGATATGCTTCAAAGCATAAGCCAGATCAGCAGTTTGCAAGATACTTTCTACAAAACACTGATGTAAACACTTATGGCATCCAGTCTTTTGAGACTGATAGTTCCTTAATAAGTCAGATTTTTTTTTAATACTTTTATCTTCTTTCTCTACCCTTAGTTTGTAAATACAAAACTGTTTTAAGCCTATTCATCTCTTTAATTTTTTTCAATACCTTTTTGTAGCACATTATCAATCCAACCATTTCTCAAACAAATTTTTTCCATCCACTTAAAATCTATATACAGTTGAGTATATCTTATGCTTGTAAAGTAATTAAGAATGCAGAGAAGCTGCAGATTATGCAAGTAGCCCCATATTTTATAAATTCAGTATTCAGATATCAATTTTGATGTTGAGCTTTGGAATAGTCCATATAAATTAAGATGTAAAATCATTATTTGAGATATTTAGATATGATGAATGTCTAGCAGCTATAAATAAATAATATGTGATGGGGAAGAAAGGGATTTTTTCAGATGTATAAGTGGAAAACTTGATCAATTATTTTGATGCAAAGACATGAAGATAATCACTGAAGATGACATAATAATTCCAAGTGTGTTATTTTCCTGGGAGAATAAATGGAGTATATGAACAAATTTGCTAAAACAAGTGTCTTTTTCTGCAAACTCCATAAAAGCAAAACATTCAACTGAATATTTCCTGAAGTTTGTTTTTCTCTATTATTAGCCACTACTTATTAACTCAATTTGACTAGGTTGTAATATTGCATAGTTCTGACTTCAGTCAATATATTTTACAGCTAGATGGATGTAAAACGATTTTAATTGTGGGACTTGACCATACAGTGAAGTAGAATTATTTGGATGTATTATCTAAATATCCTATCAGTTAAAAGGTATTTTATTAGTTTTTTTCTCTTCTTTTTAGAGTTATTTCTATAAAGAATTATCATCCGAAGATAAGAATTATCACTCAGATGTTGCAGTATCACAATAAGGTAATGTGATGACCAACAATATTTCTCTTCAGTTTTTTGCTACATTGCATTCACTCCTACATAATTTTTCTAATTCACTGAAGTAAGCATTTTTCTTTCCAAAGCAAAACATCCTAATAATCCTTGTCATGTAATCTAGGTACAAAGTAATTCAGTTTTATTTATATATTCACATGACTTTATTAAAATCCTGACATTTATTAGTTCCCTAGGATCTAATTCTCAAAGCTACAGTGTCCATAGTTGCGATTGATTCCAGATTAGCTTTTAACTGCCTAACTTCTGTAAGTTTTGCATAGTTTATTATGCTAGAATTACACAGGGTGGATTGGTGGCCTCTAGGCAATTCATCTGAAATCAGTTCTTTGTTCATAAAAACACCCAAAACAAAACAAAAACCAAGTAGTTATTATTGTCTTACAGGAGATTATTGTGATTTTTTTTATTATGGCATGACAACATAGACCTGAAATTGCCAAACAGCAGGCACAAAATAAATAGTATTACATTCATATGCATTACAATAATATACATTCATATAAAACATAGCTGAGTTGTGGAACTTGCTGCTATAAATACTGTGGAGTTCAAAATTATAAATCCACTTTGGAAAATAATTTGGAAAATTTTTTGGTGCAAATTTGTGGCCTTTAAACACAGTGAAGTCAATTTATTCAATCCTGAGATGAGGAATTCCATAAATGGCTGTCTATCAGGGTTAGGAAGAATGTATCAGAGAACAGACTACTCATATGTGACCTGCTTCTTTTATTATTTCTAAAAGCATCAACCGCTGCTCAGTGTTTAAGAAGAAGCTTGACTGGGTAGACGTTTATTCAGTGAAATACACAATAAATCTTGTAGAAAGGAGGTTTACTAACAACTCCTTACAGCTATAACCTTTAGCTATACCAAGAGCAATCACTGTTGCTTGTTATGTCCTCTTCCTGTATGTTATGGAAGAAGCAGGGGTTTTTTATAGATTAAAAGCAAGGTGCTTCTCTGCTTTAAACAGGTTCAGAAGGAGAGATCTTTTAAATACTGAAGTTTTTGTTTGTTATTCCAGTGAATGTGTCTTCAAGAATAGCTTTTATCAAAGTGCTGAACTGTGGTATTAACTTAGGAAGGGAAACAAGGATTGAACGCCTTGGTGTTTCCTTATGTCTGTGCAGATGTAGAAGGTACATGTAAGAGAAAATCCAACAGAGTTATACCAATAACTCAACAATATTTAAACCTATATAACTGATGAGTGTCAATACTGGATGTGTGTCTTGATCATCTATTTTCTTCATTCTACCCTTATAAGAATCAGTCAGAAAAGAATTTAGATTTTCTCTGTCAAGTACTTTACTTCAGGGTGGAAGAAATTAAATAGAAAAGACAGAAGACGTTACGTGCCTTTTTAAATGACAATGTCCAATAAAGGTTGCAGCTTTACATGAATTCTAATCTAAGTTATATTAGCATCCTGTATACTATGTGTGTTCCTTATCAGTCAGACTGTAGCTCAAAGTGCTGTGAAGGGAATATACAGAAGGGAAGGAAAACTTTACCATATTCTGTTTGTTCAGGTGTGAGGATGGGCCTGACAGAGTGTCTAAACCAGCACGTGTCTTGAGAAATGTAAGATTTTGTCTGTAGTTGGTAAGAGTGGAACACTTCTTAGCACAGAATTAAACTCTGAAATACTTGAATTGCTTCTGCCTACTCATAAAACATTAAGCCATTAACAGAGAAAGTCATTCACTGCTATCTTCTTCCATATCATACTTGTATTTCAGGAAGTATTTTTGGTTACTCACCTGAGGGCTATTTTGTTTGTTCGTTTGTTTGTTTGTTTTCCAGGCCCATTTGCTGAATATCCCAAGCTGGAACTGGAAAGAAGGGGATGATGCAATCTGTCTTGCTGAGCTCAAGCTGGGTTTCATAGCCCAGAGCTGCCTGGCACCAGGCCTTTCAACAATGTTAGCCAACCTCTTTTCTATGAGGTCATTCATAAAGGTAATGTCTTGTCTCATTAGAATATATTAGTCTGCAATTCAGGTTGTCAGAGAGTTGAGTAGAGAATATGACTCAAATGTGAAGCAGATAGGAAGACATCAACAGATTTTGTAAGAGTGAAAAAACCCAGCACACACTTCCCATAAAAAAGTTTTCTGTTGCAAATTAGGCAATAAACCAGATTCTGTCAAGTTATGTTTCTATTTTTATTCAGCAAGCGTCTGGCCTTAAAATGATTTTCCACAGCAGCATCCATTACTAGGGAGATATTTCTGGTGCTTGATGTTTTTGCTTGATTTTGGACAAACCACATGTTTATCTATGAGAAAAGTCACTGATGCTAAAGCAAAAATATGATTTATGTAAGTTCCATATAGCAACAAAGTGCCCAGAAAAAGGAACTGGTCATTTTGGTCTTTTTCATCAAGTGGCTGGAGAACTTCTGATTGTGAGTAAATAAAATACGTTCAAACCAAAGCCTGAACCTCCCACAACATCATTCATATATTTGCTTCTCCTCAGTCTTAATTCAGGTTATTTTAATACTGATTTTAAATTTGCAGTTAGAAAATGGAGAAGTTCACAAAATGATAAAGTGTACAAATGTTTGACTATGGGAGAACTGTACTAGAGAAGCACACATTTATAACCTGGATTTGCAGAGAAAACATTTAAACAAGTCAAAAACTGGAAAAAGTAAAGGTACTATATTTCCAGAAAATATATCTAACCACTTCTACCATTATCTTATCCACCTTAAATTCTATGTTTTCTTATTTTATAAGATATTCTTAGAATAATTGCAGTACAATAATAGACTGTCTCACTGATGAACAGTTTTAAGATGTAGGCTCAGCTTTGCAATGTATTACTCAGATTAAATTTCTATATACACAGAATAAGCATAAAAATAGCAATACATTAGATTGGGAGAAAGCTATCAATGTCAGTTTTGCTCTTGTATCTGTGATTATATACAGTCATAAACAGAGCAGTGGGCAAGACATACCTTAACTTGTGTGACTTCAAATGTCATCTTCAGATGGGAGATGGCACTGGAAGAAAAAAAATGCCATAAGATAGTGCACTGAGATGGCAATACTCTGTTAGCACTGGTTAAAAATATGTCTGCCTCTTAGCCAAGAATGAATTTTCTAGGCAAATGAAATGTACATCATGACTTTCAAAGATCTCTAAATATAAATTTAAAAGCAAATTTAAAATCTGAAGCCAAATAACGTGTAAGAACTGAGACATATTTCTGAGAATTCAACCTTATTGGTGATAACAAAAAATTTTTTTATTGAGCTGAAATGATGTTCTTTTTCACGTCTATCTCACTCTGAAAACTTGAAAAGGAAACCTTACTGAGTGGTGTGAATAAGAAGTGTATTGTAGCAGAGCAGCTACATTGATTAGAATCACTAAAGAGGACTGTACTAAAGAGAAATATTCCCATTCCCTAAAAGAACTTTTCATTAAGAACATTGAAAGTATGGTCAGGCCTTTATAAAATCCTTGGGCAAATACTATTGGTGGAGTCTCCCACAAGTCAGGAGATTGCCAGGAAAATGTACTGAAACTTCTGTATTTTTTAATGAAAGCTTGAAATGTGTGTTTGTTCTGCCTCCTTCATAACGTGATTAGAAAGTGATTTAATGTGCAATAAATGTTTGGTCAGTCAAACACAAATGAATGTGATTGATTGTGACACTGCACACATTTAACTCATTATGTTTTACTTTACAGCAAAAGGATTTGTGTAAACAGTCTGCTCAGTATTAAAAATAAAACAAACTAAGAAACCTCAAAATATTATATTTGTTCCTAATATTTTCCTTTTGGTTTTAGCTGTGTAATCTCATATGGAAACTTTTATGTTCTTTTTGGCACCAAACTGAACGAAAAGGAAATCAGCTCAAAAAGATTAACATTCTGTAAACACTTAAAGAAAAACAGATGGATTGCATAACAAATTACATGTTAACGACAAAACCCCCTAAACTTTACACCTTTAAAACTATATTTCAGTAGTCCAGCGTTCTTATAGCACATACTGTTATAATAGAGACTATTTATTAACTTGAAAAGTCTCAGAAAAAGATGGGAATACTATATGGTACTGCAATTTCTATATTGTTTAGACTAGCAAATATGTACCAGAAGTCTACCCACATGAAAAACACTGCAAAAAGCAGGTAAATGGAAAAATAGGCAGAAGTGGTCAAATTTTGTCCCTCTATAAAATCATACAAGCCCATATGAGTTATTATTGTTGTGTAAATTAATAAAATGTGGAATGTGGCACTTGAGTCCACAAGTCAAATTAGTTTTCTTTGCTCTATTGGTAAGACAGTCAATACGCTTCATTCCAGATCTGAAAAATTATCTGGAGCTGTCTCTGTTAACCTCTAAGCTATTTTGAGACCAGGAATGCTCTGTGGGCTCTTCTGGCAGCTTTTGCACACCCTGTGCAATTCCTCTTTTACATTCCTTTCTAGTCCAGACTGAAAGAGAGACATAATAAAGCTGCACAGATTTACATCAGTTGGGTGCTTACCTAAACTGATGGAACACATCAACTTGTTTGCTGTTTAGTATTGGCCACTTAGGCAGCCTTATTATGTGAAACTAGGGTATGCACAGTGAATTCCTTCAAATGTAGGAGAACCTGAAAGGAGAGTTTAGGAGGAAATGCAGCTTCTTGATTTGTTGTGATGTTCTTCAGGAAACTGCAGAATAAACATGATCCTCCTTTAGGAGGATTTAGACCAAATATTAATGTAGCCTGTTACCAGAGGCATTCGTTCTCTGAAAGATCTTCCTGAATGTAATGTTTTTAATCATTGAGTCTAGGAATTAATACCTGTTGTGATTTAAAACTACTGTTTAGAAATAGTATCAGTCCTTGTGATCACAGTATATTTGCCTTGGGCTGAAATCTACCATGGAGTGCATTTTCAGTCAGTCATTTGAACAGATAGAACACCAGTCTGTCTTTTGCATCATGGCTGAACAGAAATACTGTCCTGGTTTTTAAATTTAAAAGTATTAGAAGTAGAGCCTGTGTGCCTTTCAGTTCAAACCCATCAAGGCCAGCACCTAAAAAAGAATTAGATGTTATAATATTTCAAGAATACTCTCTTTACCTTTACTCACTGCAAGATTCTGCATTATTATGAATTATGAAAAAAATGCATAAACATTTTATTTGAAATTATAGAGTTCATCTTAATTAGCATAGTTGCTGTTTTATAAAACATAGTCCTTTTATACCAATTTTAAAAAACATTCTTGCATTCAGAAAGCTATGGGAATAATTGACTGAGATTGTAGTTTTCATAGTACTAAGGATATTTGTTAGCATTGATTTAAGCAGACAATGGAATTGAGTAAAGAGATAGTTGACAATTTATGATACTTGAGGAAACTCAATTATAAGACAATCTAAGAACCTTCACTCTTAACTAGGGCTGTAAGAACTGCATTCAGCCAATTATTTATCTGTCAGATTTAGATATCCATATCTAAAGGCATAATAAAACTAGACATTCACTCAAGCAATTTGTGCAACTGAAAGGGCATTATAAGTGAACATGAGGAAATGTTTAAACTACATTGCTTTCAATACTTTTCCAACTACCAATCAAGAATATTTCAAGAGTGTTCAGACAAGGAGTAATGACTTTAAACCAACAGAGTGCAGGATTAGGTTAGATATTAGGATTAAATTCTTTACTGTGAGAGGGATGAGGCACTGGAACAAGTTGCCCAGAGCAGTTGTGGTTGTCCCATACCTGGAAGTGTTCAAGGCCATATGAATGGAGTTCAGAACAACCTGGTCTAGTGGAAAGTGTCCCTGTCCATGACAGGAGGGTTGGAACTAGGTGGTCTTTAAGGTCCCTTCCAACTGAAACCATTCTGATTTTGTGTGTACTTTCTTTTTATTCTCATCTTTGTTGTTAGAAAAATACATTAAACATCAGGAAGCCCTGGAAGCATTCTCAAAAGCTTTGTACTGTTTTATGTTCTTTTTGTGGTAGTGATGAGCTGATCTTAGTCAACACTAGGGAGCAGACTTTACATCTGCTTTTATTGTGCTATAAAGGAATTTTCATTGTGTCACTTCCTTAATATTTAAAAAGACACTCCACCATCCTTTCCCTTGCAAAATGCAATAAAAGATCCTAGGTCACACTGCAATTCTAGCATTTGTTCTCTGTCTTGATAGTGATACTTAGATCTTGATGGAAGAGGTTATATGGCATTATCAGGTTCAGATATACTCAATCTCTTTCATGTAACTATTTATATCATTATGCTGAAAAGCGAATGCTATGAACAAGATAGATCATGTGGACCTACAGAGCTCCCAATAATTACACTGCCACGGTGTAGGGCTGGGTGTATTAAGGGTTTTGGTTTTCTTCTGCAATACTAAAGGTAGCGCTTGCAAGATGAACATCATTTTTTCAGATCTCTTTCACCATGTCTAACAAGGACTTGATTGCATTTTGTAAATATATTTTCTGATAACAGTATTGTATCTGTATACAGCCAGAGAGAAGAGGAGTATTGTAACTTAAAAAAAAGATACAGATGAAAATTACATTTCTTCTCTTGGGATGCACTATGTAATTTTCCAGCTATTCTTCATATAGGCTATTGATTCAGTGGGTCATTTGTTTTATGACTATCAAGGAGACAGAATTGCAATGTAATGTAGTCAGGGAAAGATAATCACGTACTTACAGTACTAGAGAGGAATTTGGAAGATATAGTTACAAGTAGTTGTGGTGGTGTGGCACATTTTGTGTCAGTTCCAACAGTTACCTAAACTCTCTTTACCTTTTTTTCCAAGTTGTGATTGGAGTAACTTAAATATTTGTTGCTAATTGTTAAAATTTCCTCTAGGGTTTACAAGGTTTCTAAAGTAAAAAATGGCTACTTACTGTTCACACCAACACAGCATCCTGTGATAACATTTTGTAACAATTTAACATCAAAATCAAAGGACTGCCATCTACTTAGTCTTAATAATTTATAGTGTGGTCACGTATAAGAGAGTGAATGATTCCTTGTTACTGCATCAACTGCTAGTTGTGCTGCCTTGTTATCTTTCTGGAATGTTACTTTTGCTCATATTGCTGCAGTATCAACTCGAACTATTTTATTTCACTTCAGGGATAAAAATAACAGAATGATCTGCAAAGCCTACTCCTTAGGATCCTGCAGGAGAAGGTGTCTCTGAAAGGCCAGTGTTCATTTTCTGTAAGGAAAGGCACATAAAAAACCTTTTGTCATTGCTTGGTGATATACTTGAGGTCAAAAACATTTGATCAGTAAACAAAGTCCGAACTTTTTTTAAGAAAGGGAGGGGTTTAGAATTACCCTTTATCAATTATTGTATCTTCATTCAACAGTTACATCTTATAGAAGCCTGTGTTTGAGGCTAAATGAAAATGGAAATACCGTGCAAGAAATGAGAAGAGGGAAAAGAAGAAGTGATAGCTAATAATATGACTGGGGGTTTTGTTGGCTATTTTTTCCCTACTGAAGTGGTTCACTGCTGTTGTATTTGTTCTCCTCATGTCTGTTCCTGCTCTTGTGTTGTTCCTCCCTTCAATGTTTTATTCTATTCTAAATATTTTTTGACATTAAATTTTTCTTTATTGCTCTGCCAGCAAAGACACATCTCTTCATTCCAAATCAGTATTTGACAGCTTAATTATCCAAAAATTCTTATTGCCAAGTCAGTATTTTTTAATAAAGAATAAATTGTCTGAGGATGGCACGCCCCATCCCTGGAAGTCTTCATGACCAGGTTGGATGGTACTTTGAGTAACCTGATCTAGTAAAGGTGTTCCTGCCCACGACGGGGGGTTTGGAACTAGTTCATCTTTAAAGGTCCTTTCCAACCCAAATCATTATGTGATTCTATGATTAGAATTCCTGACTTCTCAAACTGACAGCTGTCCACAGAAATAATGATGAGCAGTAGGTAAAACTTGGTGTCACACTGATCTCAGAACTAAACTAGCATATTTGGCTTCCTGGAACCCACAATACTTAATAGATATAGATTTGTGCTTTCTGCTGGAATGTGTTTGTTCAGCCAACGGGCAAAGCTTTACCACAAAAAACTTTTTACTGAAATGAAATCTACTCTTTTTGTCTCCACTGTGTTAATTCATACTGTACAAAGGTAGAAAGTAAAAGTATTCAGACACTGTTGTCAGGACCTGAAAGAGGGTAGACTAGTAATTATTTGAAGTGACAAAATTGTCTTAATAATTGTAAAATTGAAACTACTGTAGGCTTTTCTCTGTTTTGCTAGTCAAAACCAAGGTTGTTTGTCTTTCACTAACTAGGTAAATACCGTTCAAAGTTTTACGTTTTTACATTTGTGGTAACATTAATTAGTAGCATCTTGAACTGAACTCACCTCAAATTCAGCGCTTTTTGTTTCTATAACGTTTGCATAACATTTAATTATTCCCCTTTGTTGTCAGGCAGCTGACATGTGAAACATCCATTTTGTAAGTGCATATGGAACAGATTATTTCATCTCTACATTAACAATTAAGTTTGTGCAACTTACTCTTAACATAGAGATAAGTATGGATGAGCAGTAGATAAGTATCTAAGGCCCAGAGATGGACTGGACAACAGTAATTTACATTGTGGTTAAGTATTTTAATGGAAAATAAACGCACATTATAAAGAATCAGATTTATTTTGGGATTCAATTCTTGAGATTAACTGAAGCAAACAACATCACAAAGGCTTAAATTAGTCAAGATCGTAATGAGTCCCAAAATATTTTTCCACACTTTAGGATTTTGAAATTAGTATCTAATTGACATGGATTATAGGAGAAACTGATAATGTTTATCTGTGGGACCCTACTCTATTAAAACTTATGGTAACTGCAGGACTCCAAGAAATAAAAAAGAAATACTGAATACTTGTGATTCTTAATAGTAATTTCATTTCTAGCAGAACAGCAGGTACTGCTTTTAAAAAGATACCAGGCAGGTGACTATCTGTCTCTTTAAAATCCCAAGGAAAACATCATGGTTCAGATGGAGATAAAATGGAATGATCATCTTTAGTACAGTGTTATAATGGTCTTACAATAGCATTTTATAGCATCCCAAATATCAACTATTCTTTAAATTCATTAATCAACAATTCATGGGATCCTAATAGAACATATATTAAACACTCCAATCATTTCATGAAGGTTAATTTAACACTAACTGGTATCTATGAAGCTTGATCTCTGATTTGTGAATGAGTTTGTTTTTTTCCAGTCCTTTCTTGGTCCTTGACAGAGGGTGAATATTTGATTATAGGTCTGATCCTTCCTCCAAATCAAAACCATCTGCCTAAAGAAAAGAAAGCAAGGGAATAAAGTAGAAAGGGAAACACATAATGTATTTGGGGGTTTTTCCCAACCCCAGGTGGTGTCAATCTAAGAAAAAGCCACAAAATAGACCATAAGTTACAAACATGCCCTTGCTATCATTACTCTTATTTTTTTACCAAGCCTGCACTTTATCTGTTTTCTGTATATAGAGTTGCTGATCAGCAACATTTGAAAGTTTCCCATAAATAAAAGAGTTATAAAAAATGTGATATGACTTCTCTGTGTGTGGTGGAGAATAACACAATGCAAATCCCTTTTACCATCCCACATGGTCTCTGGACAGTGAAACAATTTCTATGGAAGAAATTTTTCTTGATTGTTTGCAGCCCACTTGTCAGGGAATATATGATTTGGAACATCTCCATGTTGCAATATATTCTTGCAGTTGTTTACGTCTCCAGAACTAAAGTAACTGGTTACTTGGCAGCCTATCAACAGGAGAAGGGAACTATTAAAAAAAAAAAAATTGTAACTTATATTTCACTGGTTTCTTAAAGAGTTTTCAATCCTTCTGTTCTTTAGAACATTTATTTGAAAGAGTGCAAAAAATTGGTGAATCCCAAGTGAGCTCAGCCACTCCTCTTATGGCTTCCCCCGAACCCTTCACCATCTTTGTAGATTTTCTTTGAATGCTCTTTAATATCTTTATATCTTTCCTATATTGTGGTAATCAAAACTGCACACAATATTCTGCCTTATTTGAGAAAAATTAAAGCCTTTAATCTCTCAGTCTCTCTTTTTACTTTTTTCCTATTTACTGTATAGTCAGATAGACTCTGGTTAATGAAAATGTGGTAATGTAAAAAGTAACAAAAGAAATATATTACATTATTTGCTACTCTGATGTAATTGACCTGTTTCTCTCTAATTTTATCTATACTGTATTGTAGTACATATTTTTTTGCTGCTGTGTATAATTCTTGCAAGTATGAATTTCTCTATTAGCACAGTTTATGGGGCACAGCTAGTGAATAAAGCCAAAAAGATAATTACACACAGGAATGTTCCATTGTGGTCAAAATTTTTGATCTATTTTAATGTGATGTAATATATAGGGAAGTGACTGTTAGGACTCCTTAGGTATTTCATGCTGTGTGTTTGTGATGGTTTCCATAGTTTTTCTAAAAAGGTCTCTTTGTGAATGACAGTCAAACCTCAAACAAATTTTGTTATGAGGGCACCAGTTACGGTATAGAGAACTGGGGCTTCAACAGTGAACTTCAGCATATGACATTTATCCAGTCATATCAGTTGACTTTGTACTTGCTCTTTGGAATTATAGTGCTATTCCCAATGAGGGATGCTCAGTGGCTTGAACTAGTTACCTTAATATAAGTGTTTGATGGTAATTGAAAGACCTTATGGAGTGTCTAAGACATAAGCTTTATAGTTATGACATGGCATCCATGGACCCCAGGGCAGCAGCTGGGAGCTATATGGGACTGCATGTGTGTCACAAAAAACTTCTGCTTAGGCAAATATATAGAGTTTTTATGGTAGTCCTGTAGCACCTCCAACTTGTTTTCCTTTGTACCTTTGGTAGTAAAAGACCTCTGAATTTAGCAGTAGAGGTTTTTTTTTAATTAGCTCTCCTAAAACACAGATAAACATTAAAAAAATTGTTTCAATGTATTGTTCTCATATTTCCTTTTTAGTTGTAGGTGCAGAGAGGAAAAAAAAACCCTAAACAAACAGGTTTGACAGCTGATAACTTCTAAACAAGGTGAAAATAACTGAGACATTGTTAGAGACTCATATAACAAAATAATGCAATCTCTGGAGCAAGTCTAAAGGAGGGCCACAAAGTTACTAAGAGGACTGGAGTGCCTCCCCTACAAAGACAGGCTGAGAAAGTTGGAGCTGTTCAACTGGGATAAGAGAAGGTTGTGTGGAGACCTCCTAGCAGCTTTCCAGTATCTGAAGGGGGCCTACAGCGTAACTGGAGAGGGACTCTTCAACAGGAGCTGTAGCGAAAGTACAAGGAGTAATGGTTAAAAACTGTAAGAGGGGAAATTTAGGCTGGATGTTAGGAAGAAATTCTTTGCTATGAGTGTGGTGAGATACTGGAACAGATTGCCCAGGGAGGTTGTGTATGTCCCAGTCTTTGCAGAGTTCAAGGCCAGATTAAAAAAGACTTTGAGCAACCTGGTCTCATGGGAGGCATTCCTGCCCATGACAGGGAGATCAGGACCAGATGGTCTTTAAGGCCCCTTCCAACTCCTAACATTCTGTGGTTCTATCATTTTCAAAAAAAAGAAAATTGAGAAACTTTTTTCCTTAAGCTTTCTACAACCTTATTTTACCCCTTGATAACTGTGCTTGACAAGAATTAAGTTTATTACTTTTACATAGGATACTTGATTTTCTGACTGCAGGGACTCTCTTTTGGGTTTTTTTCAGTATTTCAGGAAATCCTGCAAGAGTAAGCAATGTTAATTGTCATAACATTCTACTGACTTATTTGTTAAAATCTTATTCATATTTAAGCAGTTGTTTGTGAATTTTAAAGAAAGATATGATTTTTACTCAGAACTCTGCATCTTATTTCTTTTAGATTGAGGAGGATACATGGCAGAAATACTACCTGGAAGGAGTAGCAAATGAAATGTATACAGAATATCTGTCTAGTGCCTTTGTGGGTTTGTCCTTCCCTGCAGTTTGTGAGTAAGTAAAAATACATATTAATATACGGAAGTATTTGCCTTCTCTCAAGAGAAATCTTTTTTTTGCAGGAGACTTTTTTACTCTGCTGAAGTCCTAATGTTGCTACTTTGTATGGTATTTAATAAACACAAAGCAATCAATGCATGGAAATATCTGAGTCATTGTAATGCCTGTTTCCAGAATAGATTTGGAATTAAGTGGTTGTAAATGAAAGCATGAATGTTTTCAGTGTTGAACAAATTTGTCAGCAATCCATTTAAAATGAGTTATTTACTCACAAATGCTGTTCTATTGTTTCTTCTAATGCTTCCCATTCTTTGAATAGTGGTTGTCAGCATCACCATCTTGGCTAATGTCACATTGTGAGGAAATTATTCATTAATTTAAACAGATGTTATGAAGTCATAACCGGTGTGACATCCAGAGCTCTGTGGAACTGGTTGCAAACCACTTGTAACAGTGAAATATGTCAGAAAAGATATGTCAACTCTGTTATGAGAAAGGAGTATTTAAAGCTTATAGTACGTAACCATAGCATAAGCTATTCTACAGCTTTACTTTTCAAGACTGAAAATGCTTATATTTGTCCTAAAATGAGTCTATGAATAAGAGATTTGTATGCAGAAGGTTTCTATGACAAATACTGTGGCCACATAATCAGGTTGATTTATATTTCCTCTTCAATTGACATTGCCCTTCACTCCAACCATACCAAAAGGTCACTAGAAATGCTGTGGACAGCTTTTGCTAGGGATTGTTCAGATGCTTAATAAGAAGGAGACCCTGCTCTGAAGTGTTTGATGTTGAACTAGTTAACACAGAAAAAGTTCTGAAAACTCTATTCTTAGAGGAGGAAATAGAGAAAGAGGTAAAATAACATCTCTTATGTAAAGGAGGATGAGTTTCCTTCTACTCCTCTAACTGCTCCCTCCTTTTCCAATTTTTACAGGACCATAAACATAGGTTATGATATAAAAATGAGGGAGAAACAACTGTTAGACAAATATTATCCATTTAAAGATCTGTCTTTGTCTGAGTTGTAGCTATGACAGAGCCTGGTCTTCAATTTGCTACTAAAATTAGGGACTTACAGTCCATCCTTTCACAGTGTTAGCCAATATGTCACTAGGTTACTGAGGGGAAAAGTGTATTACTAAACTACAAAAGTCTGCCTGGATATGTTGAAGTAGAAAACCTCATATTACAGAAATGTGTATTATATTCAGAATGAATGATAATTTGTGCTGTTTACACTACCTACAGTCATGAAAATTAAATCTCCACTGCAAACCATTTTCAAACGTGTTGAGTTTCTACAAGTTTGTAGAAACATGTGACTGAGACTGTATTTGATATAAAGCTGTCATTCATTTAACTGTGCTGGTAGAATGGAGATAAAATAATCAATAAAGAGTGTTTCTTGAGGTTTGGAAACACATCTAAACTTTGGAGCTCTCCTCAAGCATTTGGTTATCTGAAACAGCAAACTATGTTTACTAGTTTAAATGAAGCAAAAAGATTTATCTCAAAATTTTCACTACTTTATAACTCTAATAATTTCAGGTTAATTAAAGCACATTAAAAATTAAAAATCAATATTGCGTAATAATGTGTTTGGTGCTTATTAATGAGTGTAGGTATTTTCATTACTGTAAGAATTGAGTATTCAATATCCAAAAGAATCGAAGGACACGAAAAGTCCATTGCATTGATTTGTGAAGGGGAAATTAAACCAGTGGATAAGCTTAGTGTATTCAACTACCCATGAAATATACAGACTTTGAGAACAGTTTTTGTAGTGAAGCTTTTAAAATTCTTGCAGTCAATAACATTTTAAAAGTCTAAAAATAAACAAGATATTCTGCTGTCTCAGGTTATGGGTCTTAATTGCCAGTCTAGGAATGTGATTCTTTGGTAAATAGGCTGGCATACAGTTTGGATAAGAAACATAAAGAGAGTGCAGAGACAGTGGGGATGGGACACTCAGTATTGTTGAAGAATTTCAAGCTTTTGATGTCAACAGTTGGGTGAAAATTAAGTGACAATAGGAGTTAGTATCAGCCTGCAAGTTCTATTTATAGCTATATGTGTGTGTACTGTATGAACATATTCCAACCAATATATTTTCAGTATGTAAATGTAATTCCTAACATTCTGTACCCTTGGATATTGATGGTCCAGGTGTGGATGTTGCTGATTGAAGATAAACTAACGAAATTGTCTCCCCTATCCTGGTTCTAGACCCACTATTTCTACCCAAAAATTTTCCTAATGAGACTAGCCATCTATGGATTGACGCTTGACCTAGCAGTGGAAACAGCATATGAAATGTGTACACTCCTCTTATTATATATTGAATCAGACATATTTCCTGTTTGTTATTGTAGAAATTGAATATTATCAGTTCAGTAGCCAATTCCTTGTTTTCAGAGAAGTATGTGATTGATACAAAGTATGAATAATATTGCTTAATTTACTTAAGATAAATATTATTGAAATACATGCAAAAGTATTAAGAACACTGAAGTAAAGAAGTTGGTAGAAAAGCACTGAGCCCTGGATAACTTACTGTATGATCAAGGAAATGGCAGCCATCTAGTTCAAGGATCAGCCCAAGAGTCATTTGTGACAAATCTGTAGAACAGGAAGTAAGTAGCATTGACTTTGCATACATTTAAATGATAGAATTGAAAAATGGTTTCTCATTAATAAAACCCAAAAAAACTGAGTTTATTTCTTTATTTTCACGGAGCCTCTTATCTCGAAGCAAATGGTGGTATGCTAACTCACAGTTCTGCAAGTCTACAAATATCACCCTTAAGTTGTTTTAATAAATAGCCACTTCAGCAGACTTTAATGACTGAAAAAAACCTGTATTACAGTATCAGAATGTAATTCCCATATATTGATCACAAATTGCTTTCAATCATGTTGTACCCCAAGGACAATAGTTGGAAAAGAGTGACTTTATTAATAGTGTACTCTCACTTTATTTCAGTATATACAGCCGGATGCAATTTTGTGTTGTGTATCATGACCTTTGTTATTATTGCTTAAGTAGACCTAGTATCACAATGTGTTGGTGCCTATGCTATTGCTATCAACTTCTCAGATTATATTTTTTAGATCATATGCATTGATTATCTTCAAACTAGAAAGACTTTAACATATATTCTGTGTATCTGTAATGGAAAAAGTGGAGGAAGATGTTAGTGCAAGTTCTTAAGGAAAATACATTCTCCACTTCACATATGTGATGCTGGTTGTGAAAAAAAGACTGACTCCTGGCCTCTTCTTTTCCTGCAGACTGGTGTTTGCGAAACTAAAGCTCTTAATGATAGCCATAGAATACAAGTCGGAAAAACGCGAAAGCAGGTATGTCCAATACCTTCAACTTTTGAAGTTGTGGAATGCACTGCCAAGAATTTTGCCTGCCTTTTTTTTCTTTTTTTTTTTTTTTCCCGGAATGAACATAACTATTCTTTGAAACATTTCAGAATATAATTAGCATGCCATCACATTACAGCATTTCACATAGCACTGAAAGGTGCTTATTTCTGCTTTATTCCTCCCTGAAATTAGTCCAAGTCAGAATATTTAGCAGAAGGTGAACAGACAGTAATACATATGTCCCATCTCTAGAAGTGCAGTTAATTTTTATTTATGGAAAAGCTAACAATTTTTTGTTCATAATGTATCACTTTTAACCTGAGGTCCAGCTTACTTTACTGAAAATGGATAAGGGGAAAACAGATGTGATATCAAAATTCATTATAGCTATGTGTATTCTCAAAATACAAATTCAGCCTTGAAATTACCAACTGGCTGGCTACTTTCCTCAACTAGAAAGAAAAAAATTCATTGTTTTTAGTACAGATTCACAGATGGGAAAAGAAGTGTTTCACTGGAATCAAACTTCCATCAACTCATCTGTCAGTGCTGTAAATAATACTCATTTTTGCATAACAAAAAATGTTATAAATGTCTGCAACAGCTAGAGGAACATTTAATAAAAATAACACTGAGTCTGGATGAATTTGATTTTCCTCTTTCTGAAGGTATATTCTGTACTGCTGCAGTAAACCTGGAATGATACATTTTAGTTCATCTTATTTTTGGCCTCTAATTACCTTTTAGTGGCCAAAAGGCACTTTTGAGGGCAATTGTTTCTCCTCACAGGAGAACCGATTCTGTCCTTTGAACTCATGCCACAATTTCTGAGGTTTTGCAAGTTTATTTTAATGTTTATTCCTAAATATCATAATTTTTTTTTATTAAAAATATGTTTAAAACCTATGTTGGGCATTTGACATGGAAAATGCAATGTTACAACTGTTTAAAAGAGTATTTCCATGCCCCATAGTTGATTTTGCTTGATTCTTTCCTATATTATAAAGTGAAATGTGAAGCAGCGTATGTGCTATTGGATATTATTTTTGTTCAGACTATACTTTTTTGTTCCCACTATACTGATTAAGAAATCCTTTTTTCTTTTAAATATCTTTTTTAAAAAAATTTTTCAGCTCCTATGGACTCTTAAAATACTTTTCATTGAATAATTTCATTCTACATTAGCTAATGTAAAGCAAATGATCTCTTCTTTTGTCTCTAGAAAAAGGAAAAATTGACAGTAATAGCAGTGGAACTACTTATCAGATTTTGTTTTCCCAATATTTATTAAAAAAAATTGTCTCTGTTTTTCTCCTAATAATTATTGCTCAAATTTAGGTTGTCATTTCTTCAGTTGTCATTTACATATATAAGTGCTAATATTACAGTCTCTTTCAGTAATAACAGATAGTTCTTGGCTTCTATATAATTCTTTGCACTAACTTCAGTGGGAGTTGGATTGAGTTGTTAATCACAAAGTGATGCAGAGGATCCCACAAAAAGTAACACAGTGTGATGCAAACTTATATTCCTTCTTACCTAAAGCCACACAGGTAACAGTTTGCAACTAATTAATTTAGTAGGAAAAAAAAGCCTAAAATTGCAGAAAACAATAGTAACAAAGGAATATTAACAGCTTGATTTTGTGAATTTGAATGTAACAACAAGAGGACATATAAGATAGGTATTCACATTTTCTTATAACCCTGATCCTCAGTAATATCTACTGATTTTATTAACCAGTGATAATTTTATAGTCAATGTTTGGTGAATCACAGAGCTACCTGCAGCATGTCTTTACTGTTCTACTTGTTCCTGTGCTCTTCAACCCAAATATGTTAACTACATATTTGTGGTTTTCTGATCTGGAGCCTTTTAGTCTAACCAGAAAGGTAATGGAACAAAACTTAAGTTTCTCAGTTTCTAGGAATACTTGTATTTCCTTGCACTCTTATTAAATGAAAAGATGGGGAATTAAGATAAAAGTTAGAATAACATGATTTAGAAGTGCAAGCTCTATTTGAACAAGATAAATTTGTCGTTTTCCAATTATATTTGTTGATGTTGACATTGAAAATATTTTATTTTGCTCCTATCTGAAGTTATTCATAAAAATCAAATGGGAATTTTTAAACTTTCAGTCTTTATGAGAGTGACCAACAGTAGATATGCGCTGATTTTATGACTGTAGTTTACATCCGTATTTAGTAAAACTATTGAGAGTTTTTTTCATATAGTTTACAATTCAGAGGAACAATGTTAAGTGTTAGAATGTCGTATAGGTGGCACCCTTTTATTAAGAGGTAATATTTCCTGCCATGACAGAGATAGGTCTAGGAATAGTATTTCCAGGAGCAGAGGAAATTTTCAAAGCATTCTTTGTGCTTAAAGGATGACAAGCTCTTACTCCCAACAGTTTAATTTTTGTTATTAGTCATAATAAAATATCCATATCAGTAAATTTTGTATCTGATTGTTTACTTAACACAGAGTTTCCTTTTAAGATTAGTTTCATCTGCCATCATCACTTTGCACTCAGAGCTAATGCAGTGTAAAGAAGTGGTAATGTGAGGGCATTCTAAATTTCTTAATACTCTTCGTAAATCTTCAGCTCATTGTTAAGGATAAATAGTCCCATCCCATTCAATGCAGACTTTCATTTGACTTTGTTAATATCTTTATTACATGTAGAATTGTATAAATACTAATTTACTTATGCACTTTTTTTTTTCCCAGGCAGTCACCTAAATGTTAGTTTTCTAAAACTTTCTGATTTACAGTCAAATTTTGTTAACTCCACGATAGGGAATTTGAGATCAATAGAAATTATAAATCATCAGAAGTCTATCCAAGCTAATATTGCTGTACAAGTGAGCAGTAGCTGAGCTTCCTGCTTGCAGATGGATTTTTTCTTATTATTTTTCTGGCTACTAATAAAGCTACACAAAACAGTAAGCACACCTTGATAGCAAGTTTTGTTAGGATTAGGTAGTTAATTGTAAAAAAATTATGATTTTACAGGATTGCTTAAAAGCAGATATTCAAGCCTAAATATAGGGAATATCAATATGATAAATGCAAATCAGTTTTCATATAATGGATAAAGTATCTACAGAATATTTATCTTTTTAGGCAACTGTTCCTCCTCAACCTTATCTTGAAGATTAATAAGAATAACTGTGATTAGATTTTTTTTAACTTTTCCTTTTTTTTTATTTAATAATGTTTAACCTACTCCTCAGCTATCAAAGAGGCCTCTGAGTTTACAAAAATCAACTTAGAGGGTTTCTGACAAGCTACTAAGGTCTGCACTTTAGTAGTTCTAGGTCACAATATGACTTAGCCATTCCTTCATCTCTAATTAGTATCTGGGAATGTTATAATGCATTATTAAGAACAGGAAGCACTTAAATAAATTTTTGTACCCCTGATAAAAGCCAAATATTTTAGCTTAAAATTTGTCTTTCTTAAGACATTAAGAAAGACATTTGAAAAAAAAAGACAAATTAAGAAATTTGTCTTTCTTTTTTTTGTTTCTCATTTAGAGAGAGATTTTGGTTCTTTTATAGAGAAATGCAAGGGGAACATGGAGAATGTGAACCTGAAAATGTCCTAAGTTGAATATATAGCAAAAAACAACAGTTCAAAATGCAGACATTCAAACTCTGTATCTGAAATGCCTTTTAGAGATATTTCTGCCTTCCTTTTTCCCCCTCTATTTTTTCCACATGAGTAAGCAAGAAGGAAAGCCTAACATGGATTCTTCCCTCCTGCAACCCATTTATACTCCTCTTGTAAAATTTTCTCTTGTCTATCCGTATATTTGTTCTCATTCTCAGCAGAAAAACCTTTAAGCCTTGAAGACTTTTAAAAAAAGGTTTTTTTTGCTTTTACTTTGGTGTCAGCTGATTTCTTATCAAAGTGTTTGATTTGCAATTTTTTTCTTGTCGTTTGCAGAAGCCGAAAGCGGTATGCCCTCTTCGTTACCTTTCCTTCCAACCTCAATCCTACCTTCACTCCTTCTAACTTCAGGACTAATTCCTTGCCAAGAACACAGGAAGATAACATCTTTGTCTATCTTTCTCTGTATATGCACACACATATATGCATACATATATTCATCTGTCTATGTGTGTGTGTATATATATATCTGTGTGTATATTTATATATGAGCCCCCAGTCTCAAAGAGGAGAGAGAATAGCATTTTGTCTCTCCATTGTTTCTTGTGACTCACGCACTAACTTCTTTGCAGGAAGTATAAAATTAAACAGTATAAGTTTTTTAGGCCTTTTTTCCCCCCTTTTGAAGTCATTGGTGTATCAGAATGTTGCATTTGAAAAGCAGACTTTACTGTTAACATCTCCTGTCCTCTTTTTTCATTTGTACTGTACCGTGACGATGTATATTTCGTCTTTACCAGCCCTTGTGCTGCCACATTGTCTTCATATTCACACCTTCATTGATATCCTTCTTTCCCCAGAGTCTTCCTTCAAAACACGTCTTACAATACAGTAGTTTGTGTTCTCTTGCAGTCTCATCTTCCATTAACAACAACCAAATAACTGATTCTGTGCATTGCTGTCCTGTTTTGAGTCCAGTTATTCATAATACAGTACTCATTAAAGCTGTTGTACTGTTCTAGTGGAAGTGCCATGGATAGTTTGTATTAGATGTCGCATCCATTTTTAATGACATTTATTAAACTCATTTACGAAGATGTTACTAAATGTATTTGTTTCTCAGCTTTCGGTTGTTTTTTGTTTTTTGTTTGTTTTTTTTTTTTTTGAGATGGCTTATTTTGCATTTTCTTTCGATATACCATGCTATGAGCCCCTCTCTAGTCTACATTCCATCATACTGCTACTGGTTTGGATGAAGTCAGTAGGGCATGCTTTCCCATATCCTTGTCTCTCCTCATCTCTCTTCCCCCTGACAGCTTTTTTTCCTAGTTGATTATAGCATTCTGTCTGACTGTCAGTGATAATCTTTGGAGACCTGTTCTCATTGTCCAGACATTTCAGTTTCCTTCTTCATCATTGTCTTTCTTTCTATGTCTGTTCTGTTGCATTTGTTGTGTTATATGTATTTCAGTTTTAGTCTTATTCTCCTATGGTTTCTGAGTAGACGTGTGATAAGAGAGGTGGCTTCCTGTCAGTTTGGCATTGATACGATCCAAATGCAGAGAAGTTACTGCAACACTTAGCATCTTCAAGGATCTGCAGCTGTTGCACCTCTACTTTGCTTCTTGCTTTTAAGTATATATTATCTTGTGGTGAAGGCATGTTGAAGCTGGCATGATGAGCAATATGGAGAAGTGTTGTACCACGTGAAGTTGCTTGCTCCCAGAATAAAGTATTTTGTTTTGCTTCATTGTACTGATATTCAATCACTTCTGGAATCAGAAGGAATAACTTAATTGTTTCCAAGTGTATTGAATTCACCATCGCTGTTGAACTAGTTTGGACTATGCCCCAGTAAAATACCTCATACACATACCATGACTTAGGTGCTGTTGTAAAGAATTTAATTCCTGGGAGCAACCTTTTCTGTGCTTGTAGTAATTAAGCTTTCATACACTGTAGCATGTAATGTGCACTGTGTCTTTTGCCTTGTATTCTTTTTAGTGTCTTACTGGATTTTGCTGTGTAGATCAATATGGATCTGAGTTCATGTCAATGACAGAGCCCAGAAGAAGGAAGCAATACTTACGAGTTACAGTCAGTGTGAAGCTGTATGTGCACAACTGCCACTGTGGGATTTGTGCACCTACTCTCACACTCCACTTCCAAACATACCCTGAAACAAAAAATACTATCTCCAACTAATTCTGTAGTTGGATAAATGACATGGTACGTTTTAAAAGGCCGCTATGCTAATAATGGTGCTTTTTATCTGGGCATAGCATGAAACAATCAAGAATAATAGCTGGTTTTGTTTAGAAGTGTAGTAGCTATAGTCAGTAATACCACATAGTCTTGTTTTAGGTAATGTAGGCATAGTACTTAAACAATATTATATCTTCCTGATGATATTGCTACTGTTTGAGTTGCATGGGGAATGGTACAGTACATCTACCACAAGGTTTAAAACAGAGTTGTTACAGCTTTTGTCATTTGTTTAGTCAAAATTTTGCTGTCCATGTTTCATTTAATTCAACAATTAATCTTTTCTTTTTCTTTAGAAAAGAAGGATGATAGTCACGTAGGTAGCTGTACAGCTGAAAACAAACAAAAAAAAACAATCAAGCAAACACCCAGAAACCAACCAACCAACCAAAAAGAAGTAGTGTTACTAAGAGAAGTTTCCTTGATGCAAGGCTGAGCTGTTCAATTGGTCACTGATAATGGGATTTCTCTCACTTAAACATCTAATCTCCTTTTAGTTATCCAGACTTATTCCATGATTCAGGGGAAGAGAGACAATTCTTGAATGCATCTTTCATTCTAAGACAGATGAGAGGAATACCCCGTTTAGTACTGTCTAAATTGTAACCTTGAAAGTAAGAGCAGACAGAAATAATATATAACTGAGGCACTGACAAAGGACAATTGTTAAAAGAGCTTTCCTGATGTAGGGAAACATTTTTCATTCTACTGAAATTTTTGTATGCTGAAAATTTATTAGGAGTAATGCTTTAAATATTCTAATAATATGAAAAGATATCAGCCATCACATGTTCTAATCACATTTCAGCCCAAGAAACATATTTTGAGTTCAATATGTGTGATATTTGAGAGCATGAGACAAATAAAAATCACCTAACATCAAAAATGAATAAAAAATAAGTAGGTGGAGGGAATTAGTCCTACCCCAAAGTGCCAGTTCACAAATTGCCCGACAGTTCAAACCTCTAATTGTCAGGTTCTCCATCAAATATCTGTAAGTTCAGGAAAACATGGAAGATCTTCAATTAGTAATGAAAACATTAGCTCACTTACAGTGTTTTAAAGGAGGACTAAAAAGGAATATATAAGAGGTGTGCTTTAGCTAGGTCAAGATATTTTCAGTCATCCATGCCCTACTGAAAAGGTATTGAGCAATGCTCATGTTCCGGGGTAATTTCAGGTAGATGAGAACAGATCAAGTGATATTTACTTGTATCTGTATTTTATTGAAGGTAACACATATACTTAAAACATCAGAAAGATATAATCCAAAAAATGAGTATGTTGATCACAATTAACACACAGTGAGTTATGAACAGATATCTGTTCTCCACTGACATATGATAAAGTCATCACGTCCTATCTTAACTTTTCATTGAAAAATCTATGTAAATAAAACCATAAACATTCATCTAGAATTTTTGTGACCATGTTTGAATTTTCCTTCTTTTTTTTTAAATTGTGCATCTCAGAGGTGCACTGATTGCCATTTGTGTTTCAACTGTTTATATTTCTGTCAGTTTGGGAACTCATTTTCAGCTGAATAGATAGTATTCCTAATTATTTCCTGAGCTTTAGTTGTTCAGTGTCAGGTTGGATGGAGCTTTGAGCAATCTGTTCCACTGAAAAATATCCCTGACCATAGCGTGAGGGTTGGAACTAGATGATTTTTAAAGATCCCTTCCAAAATAAACCATTCTATGATTCATTCTGTGGACTGAATTCAAGGATGATTTCCATATTTTCAATGTGTAGCATTTTCATTGCTCTTAGATGCATGATCTTGCATCTAGTTATGAAGTGAATCTTTTTGGCAAATGAATAATCTTTTGCAGATAAGTGTAAACCAGAGGTTTCCAAACTGCATATTCTATTTCACAAGTGGCTTCCAAACTGTAGACTTATCAACAAGTAATGGAATAAGTTCACGTTGGTGAAGTACATTAAATTCCTGTTAAACACAATAAATCATATTTAATTTGCATGGCTGTAATGACCATGTGTTCTAAATGTTCATGTGTGAGCAATAGGAGCAAGCAGTCATGTGAGACCTACTAGGAAAAGTTTTGTCCTGAGGAATGTATTTTTGGAACTGGAATCTTTAAAGAATTATAACTGAATGTTTTTTTTTGAGCTTGCTATTACTTGATTGCTTTCTAAGGCAATCTAAACTAGAAATGTTATAAAATTATAAAATTTAATCAAGATTTCAGAAGCTTTTAAAGTACTTGACCTTCCTTGCTTGATTCCATGAGTGCTGATTTAGGAGATAAAAAAATCAAATTGTATTTTATGATAAAAACATGTATTTGGAAAAATCAGGAATCTCCTTTTCAATAATACTTTTTCTGATGCAGGGCACAGATTGCATATGAATTAGCTATAGATATTGCAATTAAAATTTGAGTTGCTGCCTTTTTATCCCCTTTTCCTACATCTTCGTATATCTGCAAAACTTTTCATCCTTTGAGATACATAATAATGAGACATTAGCTAAAGCTTTGTCTCTTAAAAGTCCAGTTTAGTTTGCCATGTACTTATCTTCTCAACCATGGGTGTGTATATATATATATATATATATATGCGTATTTTCATATTAAACAAATACATGCATCTCTAAATAACTGATGGATGCATCTTCTGGGTATACTAATAGGACTGTTTTGTTTTTCTCTGTGCTGTTTGTTCTCCATATTCGACTATTTTAATTCAAAACATTTCCCTCGCTGTATGTATTAGAATGGGTGTTTATCAAAGCATAACTTTAGCTAATGACGCTGCCCCTGGTGATGCAGTGGTTAAGCCGCGGCGCTGTCAACGCCGAGGCCCAGGTTTGATTCCTGGTTAGGACACTCCCCAGGCAGATGGAGCTCGTTAGCCCTGTAAGGCAATCCATCTACGTCCTGAGGACCTCACTGCCACCGTCCAAGCTCGCTTGGCCCCGGCAGATGAACCTCAGGATTAAAGGGTGGGCTCAGTTCCGCGCACACTGTGTCTCACCTAAAAAATCCAATGCGCAGGCTGGAAGGTGGAAAGACCTTCCCCAGTTCTTCGTTCGCGAAGACTGGCATTACATTACATTTATTACAAGTGTCATAAAAAAAAAATTCAGTTCCTGCTTTAATAAGCAGTATATTTAATAAATCCATATAGACTCGGTAGAAATTACTCATGATTTTGCTCTGGTTATATAGAAGTGTACATATAAACCCAAAGTTTTATGAGGTTTTGTTGTAAATGCCAATAGCAGTGATGGGGCAAATTAATTTTTATTCCGTATGGAAGATTTTGCTGCTGTGGTCATACTGCATTAACTGTGATCAAATCTATATTTCATGGCTATTTATATTTGTAAAAATAAGTATATGTGAATGAAGTATAAGATCTGATAAAAATAAAGCCTATATACTGACCCATCTGAATTGATTTAATGTGTCTCAGAAAACTTCGAGATACAAAATTGTGCTCAAAATACCTTACAGCCTAAATGAAGCCAGTTAGTTCTGATTTAAGATTATATTCCATGCGTCTTAAAAGAACTGCTTCATCTGCTTATTACTTTGTCAAATTTCAAGTATTGTTATGAGGAGTGAACATTTATACATCTAATGGTTACCTTAGTTTGTGGAGTTTGGGTTGTTGAGCTTTGAGAAGGATTTTTTTACTCTTTGGTATGGTTTATCTCCACGAATTGTATTGAGGAAAAAACTCACCTGGGTCTATGTAAAGAAGCCTTTTTTCACTGAAAAGAAGTAATAGTTACGTGATTAAAGAATCAAATGAGATAAAAATTATTTTTCTGACAGAGCAGTACCCATTTGTACCTAAGAAAAATACCTAACCCAAACTATATTACAAGTCTTTACTTGTAATAGAAGAAACAATATAGTAAATAAATGAGGTTAGCATATGTAGGAGATTTTTGAGTTTAACAGCTAAATTCTCAGCATAATAGTAGATTAAGGACTAGCAGACAGGGAAAGGGAAATGTGGAGACTGAGGCACAGATGCAGTTGTGGATGTGATACCAAGTTTTGGCAGAATGACTTGGGAGATTTAGTGGCAGAAGGATTCTCTCCTGGTTCTTGAGAAGAGTTATCTAGGCTGACGTAGGCTCGCAGGTTTAAGACAGGCATTTTCAGCTTTTGTCTGTGAGTACTGGCAGAGTGTATGTCTCACCTCCCTTAGCAATGGCTGGTACAGGTATCTCTGTAAGTGCTAGTAAGTGCTCTGTGGGCTCAAGAGACAAAAGCTTGTGCAGGAAGTATATATTTGTGACCTGAGTGACTTGTTTTCATATGAAGAAATACTTATGGGGCGATTTCCTTGGTTTTGTTTTGGTTTTTGTTTGATTGGGGTTTTGTTTGTTTATTGTTTGTTTTTTCTTGTTTGGTTTTGTTTTTCTGTTTGGTTTTTTCTTGTTTGGTTTTGGTTTTATGTTGGTTTGTTCTTTTGTTTGTTTGTTTCTGGTTTTGTCTGTTTTATTCCATTTTAAAACCTGTGAAAATGCATTTTAAAACTGCATAAGGTAAATGTTTTTGTTGCAAGTGCAGCCATTAAGCCAAATTGACTAACAAAAGATATATTAGATCTGATACTGGATGATAAATACTAGGTGATAGATGATACTAGTTTAACTGTGTAACTTTATTTCAGTGCACTTATCTGCGTGGATAACGTATATGTTATTTACACCATCACATTCCATTTTTTGCAAATATTACTAAAGTGTGCTGCTTCACTAAAGTATTGCTGCTTTCCATGGCAATATCTCCCAATTTCTGTAGTTTTCCTCTCATTTTTTGTTACAAAACTTGAAATTTTGAATGAAGGAAAAGGAAGGATATCGGGGTAGATGCTTTCCTTGAGATTTAATTTCTGTTCGAACCTCTACCCCAGAATATCTGTGTGAGAGTGAGGTAATAATTTAAACCAAACCTTTTGCAGATGACCTCTGATTAGGTGTTCCTTATTTTGGGCATCAGAGGCTGGGCATTTGGAAATGTGGAGGTTTCTTACTTAGAGCAAAAGTCCCTAGGAAGTGTATGTGGAGCTACATAATGATAAACACTTAGAAACTAAGATCATCTCTAGGCATCTCAAATTAATAACTACTATATCTCATAGTGACTTAATCTCTCCTCTGTAAAATGGGATAATACTATATCTTCATTCTTCTTGTAAAATATATTATGTATTTGTGAATCTTTTGCATGCTGTAGTGATGAACGTTCAGAAAAACATGTAAGAAAAATATGATGTTGATTTTAAAGAGAGATAAATTACATGACGCCATGCCTGAAGCAATGGCAGTAAAACACTACTGAATGAAGTTTTAGATTGTGAGAAGGAAGTAGTTTGTGGGTATTAAATTAGGAATTGTACCATAATGTCTGTATAATGGGGGCTGAATTATGACTGTATGACCAACCTTTTACTTCTGAACTCATGAGCGCTTTATTTTGCGACCTACATATTCTTGTCATAGGGCCTTGCGGGCATGTGGAATTACACAAAACAATGTGCTCATTATTAATATTTCAAATATATTTTTTGTCATACTAATTTATTCCAAATGTATAGAGAATAAACAACATATTGAATAAGAGATGTACTGAGACTAGTTTTTCCTACAAGAAAGATTTTGGACCTTCAAAGTTTAGTAATTTATGTCTGTTCAGAAATGTGCTTTTTTAATTTTTGTGTATATATCCTTCCCTAAAATCAATTTTTGCTAAATCTACAAGATATTAATTTGCTAGTAGTCTTTATTTACTCTAAATTGCACATCAATGCCATTGCTACATTTAAAGTTAAAAAAGCTAAGCTTTAATAAAAGACAAAAAAGAGAGAACTTGTGAAAAGCTATATTAAGTTTTAGAAAGTCAAAAGCTTAGTTGTATTAAACATTAATAAAACTTATTGGAAAGTATACTTACGTTTATTTATATGTGTATATTCATATTTAGCTCGTTACTTTGCAAAGTGCCTTACCTAAAATCTAGAGTTAAATTATTATGAAAATAAAGAAGATATTTCATAGAGAAACATGGAGTATCTCACTTCTTGATAGCAGTTTATAATTTCCTTCACGGAATTTAGCCGAGGGTATTCTGTCATTGTGGTTGGGTTATTTTTTTTTCATGGCTGCATAGCAGTGTTTTAAAAATTTTCTATTTGTTTTATGTTTTTTCAGCTGTCGTGACTGGTTGTCTTGTACCATTCCCCTTGAGTGTATGTGTGTATTTATTATTTTAAAAAATAACATTGTATGTCCAGATAGGGGTCCCATTAACTTTTTATTTCTCTAGAAATTGGCAAAAATTTGCATTGAAGGGTTTAGCTTCATAAAGCATATTTTGTGTTGTTACTGAGTGGTGGTTGCTGGTTCTTCACTTTTTACCATATTGTGAATTTTTCACCACTTTGCATGACAGAGCAAGAAAGCAGCAATGCTCAGCTTCACACTTCATGTTTCTGAGAGGCTTTTGTGTAGTCCATATTTAAAGCAAAAACATAAGAAAACAGATGTAAACACTTACATGATGTGATTATAGGCAGAGGCATGTGATTGTCTCAAAATAAAGTTTTTATAAAAAGCATGTGAAACTGTTATTTGACTGGAAATTTCAAGGAAGAATGGCTTAAAATTTCCTTGCAGCCTTTCCTAACTAGTGGGTCCCCTATAACACAATCAAATAAAGTTAATTTAGAACATTCAGTTTAAAATAGTTTAAACTTATGTTTTTGTTGGTTTTGTTCTTTTTTCACTGAGCAGTATATTAATCAATCCTGGAAACCACGTCAAGATTCAAGAAGGTACCTTAGGATTCTTCATTGCAAGTGATGCCAAAGAAGTAAAAAGGTAAACCATGTATTTTTATCTTTAAATTTAAACACATATATTTAATTTCAATTTGTTTCTTTACATGTAAATGCCTCACCTAATTTGCCCTATTATCTGAGTCTCAGAGAGAATTGTTACTGTAGTGAACCAACCGTATAGACATGTAAATTTCTTAACTATGGTCCTTAATATCAAAAAAATTAAATAATTTTGCAGCAGATGTGAAAAGAAATAAAGAGGCGGGTAGAGGACAGGGATTACAGTTTTGTCTGAATTTCAGGTTTAGAGGAGTTCTTATTTACATAGACCTGAGCAAATACTTGATATAAGCAAGCTACTGTATTCCTTCAGTAATTGCATTAGCAAAACAATATTTATTTTCTTGTCATTTTTCTTTAATGAAGCTACAAATTCTATGGCCTCATAATAATAAATCAAATTACAGCAGTATTTCAACCAAATATATTCACAGGCTCATTGTACTTGGCTGTACATTTGGGATGAATGAAAAGGAGTTTTATGGTAATGTGTTTAGGACGAAATGCATTTATTCTTGTTTGTTAAAATCATAATATGCTTGGAAGGAGCAAAGGAGAATTGTGAGAAAATATTTTTTAAAAGGAAGATTGTTCAATGTCTGGAAGAGTTATAAAAAAAAAAAAAAGAAAATATTTGCAACTGATTGCCTCCTCATAATCTGTATATTTTTTATGTCATGCCATCAAGAATCAGATTTTTACTTGATGTTCTCCATGACTTTGCTATTTTAACTAAATCCTACGCTTAGAATGGTGAAATATTCAAATGATACACTTCAAGTTCTAAAATTTTTAGATTTTAGGTAATATAATACTTAAGCAATACATGATTGCCACAAATCTTTAAAGAAAGTCAAAACATCCAAAGAGTGAAATCAGAGAACTTGAATTCTGTTTTTGTTGAAAGAGCTAAGATATTTTTTGGCTAGGTAAAGCACATAGAACAGAACAGCAGTGCTCCTGTCCTCTCATATTTCTAGCACCATCTCTGGAGTATGTGCATCCTGCACTGCCTCAGGTACACTGCCTTTCAGCATATAGTTCTTTTCCTCTCTGGCGCTTTTCTCCAGTTGAATACACAGAACTGTCTTCATATTGCTTTATTAAGGTGCTAGTTTTCTTTCATTTCTAAGGCACCTTCCAATGATTTTTTTTTTTTTAAGACTACAAGAAAAATGGGGTAACGTTTTTACCAGGGAGAAGTTGACTGTGTTTAAGGACATTTTTCACATCGTTTATCTATCATGTTTCATCTAATACCAAGCATGAAACAAGATTTCCAGTTCTGCCTGGCTTTTTGAAGAAGGCTTTGTTTAGAAACATCCTGCCTCCCTTACCACATTTTTTAGCTGTTCTGTGCAAAGCAAATGGTTATCAGATGTGTTTCACCTAACAAAGCCAATTATAAAAAGTGTTCGTTTCATCCTTTTGAGCTATAAATCGGAGTCAGAAAAATATTCTAAAATTGAGGGGTTTTGGAGGGGGGGAAAAATTTTAATAAAGAAAAATTAATCATGTTATATACCTGAAATTCAAATTAAATTATTCTGATTTTTTGTTAATGAAGAAATGCCAGCTCCCTTAGTCTAAAGCTATTCATATTTATATATCTCACAATGAAATATATGATGTTTAATTACTCTTCCTGCTAGAATCACTTTTGCATTTTTAGAACAACTGTTTCCCATGAGAAGCAATTATGCCTACAAACAAGTATGCCTTGGTGAATAGCTTCACACAAAATGTTGAGTATTTAAATATAACACAAACTATGTGAATTACATCTTTGTTATTCTTTATTCATTTAAATGTTAGTACTATGATCAGAAATCCATAGACTTCAAATCCACCTAATTCACTCCAATTATATAGAATGATAATTTTGTTACAGCAATCACTTCAAGTATTTGCTCTTAGCTTTGGACATAGGATTGAAGGTATTCTAGGACATTTGTCCCAAAGTGAACTTCAGAAACATGATCCCTAGAAATCACACAGAATCAACCAGGTTGGAAAAGACCTGAGATCACTCAGTCCAACCCATGACCCAACAACACCCTGTCAACTAGATCATGGCACTAAATGCCACATCCAGTCTCTTTTTAAATACCTCCAGAGAGTGACTCCACCACCTCCCTGGGCATCCCATTCCAATGTCTCATCAGTCCCTCTGTAAAGAATTTCTTTCAAATGTCTAACCTACACCTCCCTGGCGCCTATGTCCAGTTCATGTCATGAAGTTTTTTGAGGTAGTATTTGTGGTAGTTAGTTCTTGTTCATTAAAGGGGCTTTCAGCTGTACTGAGGAGAAACTGTAAAAATTTGAGGCATTTTTCTCCTCCTGGCTTATGTCTTGCCATCAACTGATGGTTTGAAACATATTTTATTCTCATTTCCTTGGAGGTAGTTTGTTTACTTTTTTGTGGAATGTTTATATCTTGAAGACCAGAAACTTTCTGCAGCAACTATACAAATGCTTAGAGAAGGCTTTTTCATTTTACATTTTGCATCTTGGAAATAAGGCAATGTCACAGCCTAAAAGAGTAATCTTCCTGGAATTTTTTTAGAGAAATTAAGTGTGGTACATTTAGGACTTGTACCTTCCATCAGCAGTTTCATGCTATATTGATTTTAGAAGTGTTAATAACATTCAGTGAGGTTTCATTGCAATTTATATTTGTATTCCCTGGTTCGTATCTTGTATGCTAGACCTGCTCTCTTTCTCCTGATGGACCACTTAACTACCAGGGTCATTATTCAGAGGTGTAAAATAACTTAGATAAATTTTTAACTATTTAAATTAGGTATCCAGTTTATATCTCTATTTCCTTTATTAAAGTTCTACCCGTGCTGGCCACACTTTAGAAGAAATAGTAGTGATCATCTAGCTGCAGTGCCAAAGAATGTGTTTAATCAGAGGCTGTGTATTAATATTGTTTATTTTTATTTTTATATTTTGGACTTTAGATTGTTCTGTTTCAATGACCTCCCTACTGTTCCTACTGTTGTATCAATTCAAGCATCCAGTACTGTCAGCAAAATCTATGGGTGGTTGCAAAGCAGCGGCTTGGCTTCTTGTTGCCAAAAATTATATTGAGAAGTATGCAATGAGGGGGGTCGGGAAAATGGGCAGGGAGGTGACCTATACTGAACATGGACAAGTACAGGGAAATACGCAGATTAAGAAAGTATGTTTAATTTTTTATGCCAGCAAGAATCCTGCTAAACTGTATCTGTCTAGCTAGAGGCCAGCTGTGTGTGTGATCCTCATGAAATGTGTCATAGCAGCCTTACATGATATGTTGACTTGACAGGCGTGATTAAACTCTCCTATGGGCACTCTGATACATATTTATTAAATTGGAATTTTTTAAAAAAACTTATATAAAGTAAAAAGTTTAACCTTTCTCTCTTCCTTAGTTCTCCTTGTGCTTTACCTAGTGGTGAGCCATCTGATAGAAGAGTGGAAGTCCATGAGCAACAATGTTAAATAGAAACCTAGGTGGTTCATCTTCTTAATTGCATATTCTTATTTTAAATTTTTACTTTTATCTGTTCAAAACTGAAATGGTTCTTCTTTATTTAGATATGAAGGAAAAAAAATAGAATTGTATTATCATAGAATGGTTTGGGTTGGAAGGCAGCCTTGAAGATCATCTAGTACCAACCAACCTGTTGTAGGCAGGGACACCTTCAACTAGTCCTAGTTGCTCAAAGCCCCATCCCACTTGACCTTGAACATCTGCAGGGATGGGGCATTCACAACTTCCCTGCATAACCTGTTCCAGTGCCTCACCACCCTCACAGTCAAGAATTTTTTCCTAATATCTAATCTAAATCTACTCTTACCAATTTAAACCCATTCCCCCTTGTCCTGTCCTTACATGCCCTTGTAAATAGTCTTGTCCCATCTTTCCTGTAAGTTCCCTTCAGGTACTGGAAGGCTGCAGTTAAGTAACTCCAAAGCCTTCTCTTCCCCAGGCTGAAAAAACCCGATTCTCTCAGCCTTTTCTCATAGGAGAGGTGCTCCAACACTGATCAACTTGGTGGCCTCCTCTGGACTTGCTAGAACAGGTCAATGTTCTTCCTATGCATGGGGCCCCAGAGGTTCAGATGGGCTCTGACCATAGTAGAGGGATGGAATCACCTCCCTTGAGCTGCCGCCCATGCTTCTTTTCATGCAGCTCAGCATATGATTGGCTTTCGGGGCTGCAAGTGCACACTGCTGGCTCATGTCCAGTGTCTCATCCAGCAGCATGCCCAAGTCCTTCTCAACTTTTGATCTTTTCATCCACCAACCTGGATTGATACAAGGGGTTACCCCAATCCAGGTGCAGTACCTTGCAATTTGTATTGTTAAACCTCATGAGATTCCCACAGGCCCACTTCTCAAGCCTATCCAGGACCCTCTGTATGGCATCCCATCAAGGTGTCAACTGCACCACTCAGCTTGGTGTCATCCAAAAATTTGCTGATGGTGCACTCAATTCCTTTATCTATGTCCTTAATAAAGGACAGACCCTTGAGGGACACCACTCGTTACTGATGCCAATCAGGACTCTGAGCTGTTGAACACTACCCTGTGGATGTGACCATACTACCAATTCCTAATTCACGTAACAGTCCATCCATCAAATCCATCAGTCTCCAATCTGGAGAGAAGGATATTGTGAGGGACCATGTCAAAGACTTTAAAGAAGTCCAGATAAATGAGATCTGTAGCCCTTCCCTTATCCACTGATGTAATTACTCCATCATAGAAAGCCATTAAGTTGGTCAGGATTTTCCCTCCGTGGAGCTGTGCTGGCTGTCTTGAATCACCTCCATGTTCTCCACATGCCCTAGAACAGCTTCTAGGAGGTCTGTTCCATGATCTTCCAAGGCACAGAGGTGATACTAACAGGTGGATAGTTCTCAGGATCATTCCTCCTGCTCTTATTAAGGATTTGTAAAATGTGTCCATGACTTTTCAAATGTCATGGAGAGTGGCTTGGCAACTACATCAACCCACACATACTTCTTCTCTATACTTCTTCTCTATACTTCTTCTCTATACTTCTTCTCTATACTTCTTTCTATACTCTTCTTCTCTATACTTTCTATACTCTTCTTATCTATACTTCTTCTCTATACTCTTCCCAGGTTACCTGTCCTAGTTTCCACTTCCTATGCATTTGCTTTTTGCACTTTAGTTTGACCAGCAGTCCCCTACTCAGCCATGCCAGTCTCTTGCCTTCCTTGCCCAGTTTCCTGCTCCTGGGGATTTCTAGCTCTTGCCCTCTATGGAAGACTTCTTTAAAGATCTGCCAGTTCTGTTCCACTCCCTTGTCCCCGAGGGCAGTCTCCCAGGAGATCCCACTGATAATCTCCTCTGAAGAGCTGAAAGTCTACCTTCCTAATGTTCAAGAGCCTGACTTTACTCCAAAGTGATTAGCTCACTTTGACTATCAAATCTAGTATCACATTTCCTCTGGTAAGGCTCTCTGGCTTAAGAAGTTATCCCCCATGAATTCCAGGAGTCTCCTGAATTGCCTACAGCTTGCCATGCTACTTTTCCAGCAGATGTCGGGGTGGTTGAAGTCTCCCAGCAGGACAAGAGCCTTCTGTAGCTGGAGCAGGAAGACTTCATCAACCGGCTCTCCTTCTTCAGGTGGCATGGGGTAGACCCTAACCATGAAGTTCCCTTTGTTACCTTGGTCTCTGATTTTTACCCACAGACTTTCTACCTGCTCATGGCTGTTCTTCAGAGGCAACTCTTCACACTTAATCCCTGTCTTGATGTAGAAGGCAACCCCTCCACCTTCCCTTCCTTTCCTGTCTCTTCTGAACAACCTGTAGCCATTGATAGCCACTCTCCAATCATGAGATTTATCTCATAATAGTCTGAATCAAGATTTAGATTTTATTTAGGTGCTCCCTTAGGAACTTATTTTGACTGGATTTTCTCTTTCTGATTTGGTTTCAGGTTTGTTTGGTTTTTATTTTTTTTGCAAATAGCATGTCTGATATTTAATGTCACAGTGATGTTATTGCAGTTTCAGTGTAGCTAAAATGAAGTCCTACTTGTGACCAGACTGAAGAACTGGCCTAGGGTGCTAGATGGTCTTTAAAAAAACCCACGCTGGTATAGCTCATAAGAAGAGCAAATTCATTATATATATATATATATATATATATATATATATATATTTGTGATGAAAGTATTGGATACTCTTTTTTTCTAAAATGAAAGAGAAATGAACTGATACACTGTGTCATAATTATCATCCCTTCTTCCAATTACTTTTCAATAAAAATATATTAAAAGAAACACTAATTTGGAGTCATGTTTAAAATTAATGGTCTTGCTGCAAATATTTCCTACTTTTAATGTCTAAACATTTTCAAAGATTAAAGGAAATTAGTGTTGGCATATTTCATTAATTTTTCACTGCAGCAAGAGGAAATGTGGGACTAATTTCGTTTATATGGATTAAGAAATGTGTTGGTTTTCCCATTCTCGCTCTCCAGGGCATATTTTTACTGCAAGGCCTGTCATGATGACATCACGGATCCCAAAAGGATAAAAAAATGTGGCTGCAAACGGCGTAAGTAATATTTTTATCACTCCCTTCCTCTCCTTTTCATGAACTGTTCAGCCCTGAAGAATACCTATACATGTGTTTACATGTTTCTCTCAGTGGTACAGAAAAACTAAGAGATAAATGCACAGCAACATAGTAAGTGCCATTTGCATTTCAGAAGTCTGTGTGTTTTTATTACATTTCACACCACCCACACACCTGTCTTCATTAAAAAGTCATTTAAGGTTCAAAGCTAACAAAACCTAAAGAATTGAGTCAGTGTAGATCTTATTGTGGAGGTTTCTCAGTTAAGAATTAGTCAGTGGTGAAGTTTTGCTATAAGTCATAACATGCAGAAATCCAGTAATTCAAAAGTTTTCTTTAAAGTAAAGAACTTCTATCTGTGTTGCTGAATATGATTCTGTAAAAAAAAGCAACTAGGGAATTCTGTTACATCATATAGCTATTAAAATAAATTATTGTTTAAATAAATGAACAGATTTAGTGGAGGAAAGGATTGTCTGGAAGAAATAAATACTAGTGCCTCTTATATATGTCCTTTTAGCCGTAATGCTAATATTAAGTTTAGTTAAGTTCTTAAATTGTCTGGACAGTTTTTCATGAAGAAATAGTTGAGTTTTGGAATTGAGATCAGACTTTGCATCTGAATTTTTATATATATGTAGCCACTAGCATTTTACCTATCTATACTTTGAAATTATTTTTCAGGGACTATCACAACCATATTTTGGCCAAGATGTGTCTGACCCATGCATATTTGTAATACTGATAGAAAAATGTTTTAGGGATCCATTCCTCAATGGATATATGAATATTTATGTGCATTCTAGGGTATTCTGCCATGAAGAAGATCACTCAGTTCAAAAGTACGGATTAGGTAAATTGAAAGATCTCAGAAGAGTTTGATCACATCTGTTTTACCATTACTTTTAAAAGGGAAAAAAACTCTCCTATTTATAGCTTGAGTCAGTGTTATCACTGTGCTATTTTGGAGGACAGAAGAAGCCTAAACTGGACATTCTTTACCTTTATGGAATGCCTGAAATGGATGAATTCTTGAAGATGATTTTAAAAAGAAAAAATAATGTCACTGGAGTTTTTTTTAAAAAAACTCCTCCAAAAAACCAAGAGTGTGGAACAATAGTATAATTGAGAGAAAGCAGCTGAAACACTGACAGAAAATGGTATTTATCTTCCCAGTAGCCACAAGGAGAGCAAAGCACATGGAAAGCATGCCTGATGTGGAAGGAATGTATGCATTGCCTAACATATTGGAAAAAAATTGTTCAAGAACAGTTTATCCATGTGAGAATGTGACCTTTGAACTGCTGCCAAAGCCAATGAGTCTGCTGAGTAAGTTCTGGTAAAGCCAGTTACAGATGCCTCAGGGTGCCTGTAGCTCTCAAACTAAAATCTTTTTTCCAAATTACTCAACAGTTAAAGAGAAATATGTTACCTGTTTAATTTTATCTGGTTCTGTCAGGAAAAAAAAAAAGACCTATTTTATTTGTATTTTCTTCTCTACTCCTCCTTCACATAGTGTATGCTTTTTAAACATGTTCTGCTAAAAAAAAAAAAAAATCCCAAAGGTCTGTCAGTTTAGCGTGAGATCTACAATTTTCATTGTCATTTCTTAGAAGATAGGAATCATAAATTAACACTATAAAGGGCAAGAGCCCTTTATTGCATATTAATGAGAATCAAGGTAACCTCCTCAATACTAGGAAACCAGGAAGGAGACAGGGTCTCCTGAGACTCAGCCAACACAGTGGATATATTACCAGCAGTAAGGCCATAGAGAGGCAAGAGTAACAACTTCTCTGAGTAGCAATAGGAAATGTTACAAATGGCATGGTCACACATCAGTCCAATAAATGAATGGGTGTTGGACAGGTGAATAAACAAAATGATGGAGTTAGTGAGGCAGAAGAAGGAGGCAGCTGTCAGAGCTGGCACAGTGAATGCTGAACGCTAAGGAGGGAATCCTCTGAGTCAGGTGAAAAAAAGTGGTCAGTGAGAGTCAAATCTTACATTTCTCTGTCTCCCCTCTCCCTCAATCCGCAGTCTCCTCCCATTTCCTAGACACAGATAGGGCCACAGGTACTGTGATAGCAGGCAGCCCTTAGTACAGCTGAGAACAGGTTTCTCTTAGGGGCATGACCACAAATACTAGAAATAACACAGTTGCTTTGCTTTCAAAGTACTGTCAGTACACAGAAAATTTAAATGAAAAATTTCAACAGTAATTAGTGATTTTTGGTTCTCAAATTTTATTGACAATCTTGAGATCCATTTTATGGGACCTGTTTTTTTGGGGGTTGTTTTGTTTTTTTTTTAAGGTAAGTCTTTATGTTATTCACATAAAATGTTTTAGCTCTCAAATCACTAATCACTTTTGAAAAACCTTAACTATTTTATCCATCTTTAAGATGCACAAATCATTGTCCTTAAAAAGGCAGTCTAACCAAAACAAAGGATAAATTGAGAAAACTCTTTCCCTATTGAGTTAGGAAACTGTTAACTGATCTGTCAACAGCTAATATGTCAATTTGGTTTTCAAAGACACTCCATACAAAAGTCACACGTGCATCTGTGTAGTCCTATATGTTAAATATGTATTTTAATTAGTGAGTAACATAGTAATTAGAGGCAGTTGGATGCTCAAAATGTGTAAGAATAAATGAAAGGTTGTATGTAAAATATTGACACATTCAGGTGAATTAAATGTGAAAGAATATCTTTACATGGAAAACCTAATTATTGTGGCATTATTTAATGCAGCTTCCCATGACGCTTAAAACCCACATTCTTTAATAATGCATCTGAGGTTGCACTTCCATTTTATATACTTTCTGAACATTAGCTTGTGGTATTGTTGGGGTCTAAACATGAGTCTGACCTACATAGCCATTTGTCCAAACTTGTTAGGCCTAATGTTAATAATTCAGGGCAGATCAGTACATTTCTACAAGGCTAGGGATAATTAATGTAATCTCGCTTTCCTTTTGCAGTTTTCTTGCCATCCTTTTCTCCTTACTCATCTATTCCCTGAATAACATATGAATGCTGATGTCACATTGTCCAAAGAAATACTTGTGTGAAAATTTTATTCACAGATTGTTAATTTTTTTTTAATGTTTTCAATCTCTTTCTATTCCATTTAACTGTAGTTTTTGCAGCAAGAGGCCAAATATATGTATATATTTATATAAAATACAGCTACGTTGGGATGAAATCTCTAAACTGGACAACCTGTTCCTCCTGTTTCTTTCATTTTGTGCAACAGCTATGGTCTAATTCTCTATGTATTTTTTCCAGTGACAGTGCTTGCTGTGAACGGTGGGGGTTGAACCCCAGAGGGGACATATCATGTGTACATTGATGTGTTTGAAGGAATTTCTTGTAATCTATGACAATTGACAAACTTTTGATTTATTTTTCCTCTTGCTGCCTTGGAACACGGCCCCTACTATATTTTAACTGCACACTGATAGTGATCTATTGTGAGTAAAAATGGGTTCCCTGTAGCCCAGAGTGCGGTCCAACCTGTCTTTCTCTAGCAGAGAGTATTTTTGTTCAGTATTTTGGTTCTTTTTTTTATTTATGTTGCATGTAGCAGTGATGTCATACCCACAAGTTTCTCATTGTTTACACCAATGGAGATTAGGGTGACACTGAAGAAAATACAGCAGTTTTCCCCTCTTCTACCTATTTACCCCTTTTTTCCACATACTTATTTTTTTATCCCTATTTGAAAATGAGATCTTGGCAATAGTATTTTCTTGAAATTATTCTAGAGATATGTCATGAATTCTTAGGCATATCAGTTAGACTGGGGTAACTGCCACTATAGCACTGTTGGCCTGGTTAAGTACCGTTCAATTCCTTGTCAGACCCCTGTTCAATTTTTTGGTACTTTTTCCTTTCCATTGCATAGCTGACACAAAGAGCAACACAGCAGACTTTTACTGTCCTTATCTAACTTTTTTCTCTTTTGTTGACAGAATAGAAAAAAAAGTTGATGGGGGAAAGCTAGACAATGAATTAACTGTGTGGCTAACTTTATTCTAGAAACCCAGAGATATCTTCAACAGGAAACAAGCTACAGTGATTATTTTCCTGAGCTTGCTGCTTTGGAAATTAATTGCATAAGTAGATGCACTCTAGCTTTTCAGGACCTTGGCTGTAAAGTTTTACATTATTATTATATATAGAATAGGAACTTTATAGACCACTTCATATCAATCTAGGTCATACCACTTTAAAGTTACAGAATCTATGAAGGCTCTCATCAGCCACTTTTTAGTGTATACACTTGTGATGATTTTAATAAACACAGCTTTTGGGACATGGAAAGAATTTGCTGTTTAGAAATAGAAGTACTGCAAAGAAATGTACTGGTTATATAGGGCAGTGTTAAGATTATATGGGCTTGTTCTTTCAAACAGCAAGGGGGATCAAGTATCTCATAACTGCAGTGTGGCATTACTGTACCAGATCGAGGCTGTAACCATACCATGTAACTGCAGCTATTCTAAGTAAGCAAGGCTGTGAGACTTCAACATTTTACCAGATATACTGAATTTATTGTGTGAAAACACTTCAGGTCTTAATCAGAATTGAGATATTTTTCCCCCTCTCAGCTGTACACACCATAAGATCTTGCAAAGAATCAAGGAAAAATTTATGCTCCTGGCATTGCATGATAAAGTGCTGGCTGTCTTAAACTTGTGATGGCCTGCATTATGATTACCATTAATTTTTTTATTTATCTTATTATGCTGCCTGCAAACCACTCTAAAGGATTGAGATCCTGTTGTGGAAGAAGGAGTTCGAGGAGAGAACAGAAATTTTTCCAGAGATCTGTTTTTAGCTTGTTGAATGACACAGCAGAAGATGGGGGAGCAGAAAAGAATCAGATTATAAAACAGATCAGCCTGAAAAGAATCAATAACAAACCAGAAATAAACTAATTTCTATGGATAAAATTATGACCCCTATTA